ACTCATTTTTGATCGCCCGTTAATTCGGGACTTTCCCTATTCTGAACCGTATATTTTAAATTTATTTTATGTCTAGACATAAATTTAATACATTAATTTTATGTATATAAATAATAATAATTGTTTTCATACATTTGATTTTTTTTAATAATATAACAAATGTATCATATTTTAATATTTAAACAGTTTGTCATTAAATAGTAAAATGGCGTGCCATAGTTTGGGTTTTTAGTACACATTGCAGAAGTCGTCTCCTTTTACTTTGGGGGGGGGGGGGTACATGCTATGAAACTTTTTAGGCTCAATGTTTTGAAATACCTACTTTCCAGCACACGAAGATCTTGTGATAGTCTTAAAAGTTGTGAAAGATTTTTTCAAGACCTAGCTCACTAAGACTCTAAAGAACCCCAAAAGATCCCTCTAATTAACGCCCCTTGAAAACTGTTGAGGTTAAAATGTTGAAGGCTCTTGATTACTTATGAATGTTTAAGCACAATTAAAGACTGTAGACCGAACTGTAGGCTGTAGGTCATACTTCAGAATACTCTAGCTAGAAGAGCGTCACAAATACACATACAGTACGTAACGTAAAGACAAAGCAGTGTTTCGTATACAGGGTGGTGACTTGCGTAACGCATCATAGGGATTTCAATGTAAAATTCATAACATGCGATTATTGGCTCCCCAAATTATTTTAGAGCAAAAATGTATTAAGGTTTTCTGTAGAAAAAAATTTTTTACGTCAATCAACTGCATTACTTTTCAATTTTTTGCATAATAAAGACGGAAAATTGGAAAAATAAAACCCGCATCTTTTTCAATAATCTGCGATGCCCTGGAATTTTATAAAACAAAAAGATATCCAGTTATCAATTAGCGGCAGTTCGAAATGGATTTTATGATCGACTTGGTTACTGTTTTGCAGTTAATGGTGACTTATTCGAACATTTATTGTAAATTGTTATAATAGGAAACCGTTTTTAGTAATTTGGTCTTTCTTTATGTTGAATTCGCTGTTCTAAATATAATACTTTTTGATAGAATTTGATTTGTTTTATAGCAGACATTCCATGGCATGACTGATATTGGCGTAGTTTTTGTATTATAAAATTCCATGGCATCACAGATTATTGAAAAAGATGGGGGTTTTATTTTTCCAATTTTCCGTCTTTATTATGCAAAAAATTTTAAACTAATACCGTTGATTGACGTAAAAAATGTTTTCCTACTACATTTTTGCTCTAAAATAATTTGGGGAGCCAATAATCGCATGTTATGAATTTTACATTGAAATCCCTATGATGCGTTATGCAAGTCACCACCCTGTATATTGTAAGTTAGTAAGTAAAACATATCTCCGTTGCCCTCCAAAAGGTGCCGCCCGAAGCGAAGCAGCCAGACTCCCACATTCCGCATTCAAGGTCGCCCTTTATTGCTTTTATTTCGCATTACGTGACCAATATGTGGATAGAATACGGATAAAAAAAAGCTTGCGTCAGGAGACGTTCATAAATAAAAAAGTAGGTACCATCCTCGGTGAACTAGATACTGTTCTCCTTTTTAATAGTTATACCTATGCAAGTATGAGTTTTCCATTTTTTTCTAAACAATTCGCAATTACTACAGAGAGTTATTATATAAAATGATGACATAGTTGTTTGCCTTGAACACTAGGCTGACGAGACTACAAAGATTTATTTTTATGTTCTCCAAACTTTTTCCCGGAAAATTACTTTTGCAAATTAGTTTAGGGCTGGCTTAGGGACTTTTGCGTATTAAAAAAAGACTATTCAAGGTTGAATAATTATTTCGCTTTTAGGATGTATTTAAATTGGGTTTTTTGGCAAATTTAAATTTTCAAGGTGACATTATGTACATTGGCATACAATCAATTAGATATTTTAATTAAAAGTGTGGGAGCCGCTTAAAACAAACTCGGTTGTAATAAGTAACGACAATGGATCGCTCGAACCTGAACCTTGAATTTGATTCGCTAATAAATTGCGAGACACGTGCCGTAAAATTAGCCAATGTCAAGTACGTCGATAGCTCTGTTTTTCTTTCTCGTCACTTTCCGTTTCAAAATAAACAGTCAACATTTTTTTGTAGCCGTTGACAACAAGTGGGTTACAATGCCTTTGTGTTTTTCAAAAATAGTCAATCACATTTACTTTGGTAAATTTTGGTGTAGTAACGGGCGATCAAAAATGAGTTTGTCGAGTTGCCTTTGGAAGTTCAAGTTAAGTACGATTTTCCATGGAAACAAAAATTCCAAAGGTGACTCGACAGCAACTCATTTTTGATCGCATAGTACAATGCCCCGCTCATTACTGGTTCAAATTCGGGGTGGTGTTTGTAGATCAGACCAAAACTAAGCCCTCTTCAAATTAAAAGCATATAAAAAGTACAAACTTGTCTACTGTACTGTCTGTCTGTTCATCTGTTCGTTTTCCTTAACACGAAGATGAATTTGGAATTCTGCTGCATTTATTGCTCGATTTATTGTATAGTTTATTTATTTACTTTTATATAAATGTTTTTTTGTAAGTCGTGGTTATACAAGGTATTAATTATTTAATTGCTTAAGTCAAGTTGGAGTTGTTGTAGATAACCAGAACCCCTAAGTAGGTAATCGCTTATATTTCGGTAATTTTACGCTGAGAGTTTGAGGACACCATAAAATGTACCAATGTAGGCCGGGGAGCAGGGCCGAATTCGTTTTTACGTTTTGTGAAATCGATTTGCCAATATAGAAAATTTGATTTTTTCAAGTGTAATTTCGTATACTTTTTATTTTGTTAAATGCGAAATTTCATCAGTTTGCTAACGATAAAAAGTTATCAATATCTATCTTTAGTACTTTTTTTAAAATTTCGCATTTTGTTTTTTTTTTTAATTTTTCATGCGTAAATGGCTAGTGGGCCGTGGAAAACGGCTAATGTCAAAGTAGGCCGTAAACAATAAACAAATGTGCATTTGAAAAAATCAAGTTATCTATGAATGACATTTTCTAAATTGGCAAATCGATTTCGCGAAACCTGAAAAGAATTCAAACCAACCTGTCCGGCATAAATTGGTACATTTTGTGCTAAGTTAGTAAGTAATTCCACAAAGTTTCAGCGTACTCAATTTGATAATTGTAACAGCACCATTATGCCTTTTCGAGTAAAATTTTGACGTTTTGTGTTCTATTGACATTTAACATTTGCCCATTAAACTTCTGAGTATTAATTCTCTTTGTAGATCACCGTATTATAGTTTTACTACCATGATTCTCGAAATAAAGCGTCTAGATCTAGAACAAAAATGTTCAAAATTCCAACGAACGTTAATTCCGTTTGCATATTTGTTTATTCCGCTAAGAAAATTCGTAAAATTCGCCAGAGCGCTAGTTGGTTTGTCTAATAATTTTTACAGTTTATTGAGAAACGAGTGACGGGTGTTGGATATTTTAAATATTATATGCACATCGCTCGGGAGCTATTGCAGAATTATTTGTACGCATCCATTTTTGTTAATCTCTTGTCATCTTTTTGTAGTTTATCTGACAAGAAAGAACTTCTGTACTCGTTTCACCGGTTTGGTCTGATAAAGTCGCTTGCTTTTGTGGCATGGTGGAATAGCAGTGCTATCGTCTATACACGGTGTCCATTTTTCGAGTACCATTATGGAGATCTCGCTTATCTTAAGAGATAGAAACTTGGTTACATTAGGGCAAAGTTGCGAATTTTCGTGCTGAATAATAATCTAAAAATAAATTCATAATATCTTCAATAGTTTTGAAAATATGGCAAAAAAACCAAAATTGCTGATTTTTCTAGGTAAACTAATTGTACTAGACATTTCTAATTAACACATTATTCAGACACTTTTTAATGGATATTTCGAATATGGCATCCCGTTTTTAATAACTTTCCAGATAACGGAGAAACACGTGGCAACTGTAGTTTTTTTTATCGGCGCCGTTTTGGATTTTGACATTTTGAGATTAGGTCTTTTTTCTCTTCACAACGATATATCACACATGGTGGTTCGGTATCACATTTTTTCTAAAAATACAATTTTCATTTTCTGCGAAGAGTGCTATGCAAAAACAAAACGTTCTTTTGTTATGAACAAAATGTTGACTTATTTCAAGCAGTGTCATTTACGATTGTGCTAGTTTTATTGCTAAAATATTATTTATTTTGTTCTAATTTGAATTATAATTTTCTTGCAAAACGAAGGTTCAATTCTGTTCATATGAAAATCGAATTTTCTCAACACATCTAGTTCCCTGATGCCAACCGGACATATGCATCAAACTGTCAAACTTTTGTTCACAATAAAAGAACGTTTTGTTTTTCCAAAGCACTCTTCCCCAAAAATTAAAAATTGTATTTAGGAAAAATGTGATACTGAACCACCATGTGTGATATCTTATTTTTTTTATTTTTTTTTTATATTTTTTTTTTTATTTAAAATGGCGCGAGATCCCCATAGTGGCACTCGAAAAATGGACACTGTGTATTTCCCGAAAGTAGAGGTCTTTATTACAAAATCTATGACACTAGATAAACTCGAAGTGGCACTAGCTATAGAGATTCTGTAGCCGGAAATTTTAAATGGCAATAGGGCCCTTAAAATCCAAGGATCCCCAAGATGACGCAAAATCATCGTAACTACCTAAACATTTTTTTAATGATTTATGGAATTAGGCAAAAGTAAAAAAAAAGACGTTTATTGATACGTGTTAAACCTATCCCTAAATGATAAAACGCTAACCGGAAAGTCTCGCTGTATTATTTGAAACGTAAAGTATGTCTGACATTGAAAATGCGAAAATAGACGCAGAATATTAATCGATACATGGACTAGAAGTGTGTAACAAAGGCTAAAGTGTTTCATAACTTCAATGTCTGCCTACAATACAATTTCGGAAACATCTCGTTTAACTGCGTCGTTTTTGGTCATGGACGTGTCGCAGTCGTGCCCCAAACAGGTGAATCAGCTCAAAATGTTTAGCCGGCAAGACACGCAGTCGACGTTTGTACGTTGTCCGCTTCGCTTTAGTTTTTGCTCGAAAGCTGCGGCATTTTTTCTGGTACAAATGCGCGTCGTAAAACCGACGAAATGGCAGGCGTCGTTTTTGTTGTTTACGCCGCTATATGGAAGTTTTCCGAAGTGAGCGTCGTTTAAAAAGTGGGTGCCGAAAAACGCTTTTTCTACGTAAATAAAGGGCACGATAATTAAACATCGAACGCACGTGCGACGGAATTATAAAAAAAACGATAATTAAGATCGTACTCGTCTCGTAGGATAATATATTTTTATCCAAGGACTTTGATGCCAGTCCGTGAAGGTTAGGTTGTTACTTTAACCAAAGAATGAGGTATTTGTATTGTGATATTGTGAATAGTCTGTGATAACAAATACATACAAAAGTAAAAAAAAATATAAAGATGTTGAAGAAAGAAAAACCGATGATGTCCGTAACCGCTATCATTCAAGGGGCCCAAGCTCAACAATGGGGACGAAATTTTGCAAATTTGGGAACTCCGCATTTCCCTTTAGGTATAAACAATATTTACTTAATTTCTGTTCGATTATAAATTAAGAAAATGCGCCACGTTTTTAGCGGTGATATTATTACTTTTATTGACGCCTCGATATGCCGCGTGTAATTTACGCTATAACTAAGATGTACATTTCAAGGTGGCTTATAAATAGAACGCCGAAATCGATATTTTTATTACATATTGTGCACAACTTTGGAGTATATTTAAAGAGGAACATTGCGATAAATAATTGAAAATTAATTTCACCTTTTTTAATATTCGCTAGAGGTAACTCGTTTTTAACATTTTATTGAATGGCAACAAAAAACAAATTAGGGGACGACGCGAGCTGGTAACCTGAACCGGAAGAGAGTAGGTAGGTATATGGGTAATGAACGAATTCATTTTGGAGCAGACTACACAAATTGTTTATATTTTTATCCCCAAACTCGATGGGCCTCTAATTGCGTCGCATTAGCTACCCAGTGGATTTTTCTTTTACACCTTACAATTTCATAGCGGTTGGGTACATTGAGCTATCGATCTGATAACGTAGTTATTCATACTAAACACAAATTTGTTAGTAAACGATACCCCCTATTCGCCCTTTATTGAATATTTTCTGTACGTTAAAAATTGTCCGTTTGTTGTTGGTCAAAACGAAAAAAAAAACATGACATTATCCAGACAGACATCAAGGTCCTCTTCTATAGTTATCGCGTGATTATATTTTCAAGGTCATTAATTATCCGGCACCGTCACGGTACGCTTTCAAAACAGCGGACATCTGTATATTTCTTATCAACACGGTATCATTTAAGGACCGTTTTTTTCGTTGCACAAAAAGACGATTTGTATTTCCACGCGTCTGAAACAGCAGCTGCTCTAGGAAAGATTCAGATGTGGTCATCTTTTATTTTAATCGTAAACGTGATCGAAGTTGGCGTGCATCGATTTAAAAATTTTTGTGCATGTATGGCCCTTTTTTTTCTACATAAAAATGACCGCCTAATTTGAGAAACACTGACTTTTTTATTTAAAAAAAATTAAAATTCTGCTTCTAGATTCGTAATTTTTCGAGATTTTTTTACAATGGAACTTTTTTCGAAACTTTCTTTGAACGAATAAATTAGTTTTTTTTTAATGGGGTCATCCCGCCTTCATTTTTTATTTCTGATCCACAAAGTACATTAAAAATAAAAAGACCCGTGTGTCCTCAATTTTTATTTGCGAGTAAAATAAACCCAAAATAAATTATTGAAAAGCTGTGTTTTTAGTCCGAATTTGAAACGCTTCAGACTAAATACGTCACAAACCTACAACCAATCACGTAGAAGTGAGCTGGCAACCTTACGCGAGGGTCTGACGTTTGTCACATTTGACGTTTTGAGAGGGAAGTTTAACTGCATCTAGCACGAAAGTAACAAGTGCCTGTGACAGATGACGCAAGTTATAAATGCCATTCTCCTGCAATATTGCCAAGTCGTTATGTCATCTGAATGGTTCTAGGAGCTGATTGGTCGGGCTTATTACGTCACAGAGCCCGCCACAATCATATCGTTTTGAATAAACCTTTAAAACCGCACATGTTCATTATTTTTTTGCTAATCAGCCTCTATTTTTAAATAAACTTTTACTGTCCAAAAAAATGTTTTATGGTTTCAGGTACACGCTTATTAAATTAGAACTGCGGAATTCAACTATACTGTAAACCCCCATTGCTGTGTTGTAATTCTTATAATTTTTGGGAAAATGATTTTTTTCTGAAAAATTTGGTAATGCAAAAATAAAAAATAATAAACTCAAGAATAAACTCCCAATTTGAGAAAGCAGTATGACAACGCATTTTAATTATAAAAAATCAAAAGTTACTATTCTCATAAATTATTGCTTAGATTGTTAAATTTCGTCCTAATAACTTCCAATTATGTACTTATTTTACAGTTGAGTGAGACAATTGTGACTTACAAGTTTTGAATTAAGGTACAGACTAAGACTTCGTCCACTTTCACATAGTTTTTTTGGTAGGTACTTATGGAAATATGTAATAAAAATTTTGACATCTTCATCGAATGTCATATTTTGTTTAAATTGTAAATGGTAGCCCTCTAAACCTAATTATAGCTCTGGATATCCGAAATTATCAAATTTCTATTGGTATAAAAAAACCACGCATTATAAAATATAGAAAATTTCCGAGAAAAAGCAAATCGAAACGCCAATTTGTAGAAAAACGTTTTTTTCTGCCATGCCAGTAGTTACTTTTTTCTGGTATATTCTTAAAGAGTTTTAAATTCTCCTTATATTGATATCAAATGTAATTACCTTGGAAATTAAAACTACAGTAATGTTTTTAAAACTAATCGCAGTAACTATGGAAATTTAAACAAAAACATAAAATTTACAACAGGAAGCAAAGAAAACAAATGAAAGACAGTCACATAAATGACTACTATTAGAATTTAATCCTCTCCATGTGATAGAAGAAGACAGAAATATTAATTACATTAAGTAATTTTAATTAAAGACGCTCTTGACTTAATTTTTTTATAATATAATTTTATATTTATACAGTGTGTCCCCGGATGGACTGAACAAGAGGGAAAAATTTTTTAATTTTAACTACACAAAAATGTCATTCTTTATAAAAATTTTTGCTTGTCTCAAAACCACCTATTCTGAAATAAAAATCTAGATATTCCTTTTAGCAGCTGAGAAAATTACAAAAAACGCAAAATCTACAGCGGAAATTTTTCTAAGTTGCATGTTTTTGATTAAATCAGACTATCATTGTATCTTCCATGGCAACCTGATAAGCAAATCAAGTTAAAAAAGACACCTTAGAGCTTAAGAGAAACATTTTATTTTATTCAATGTGGTATCCTCCAACCTCTACACACTTTTCAGCTCTACATACAAATTCTTTATAAACTTTGTGGATCGTATCTTCATTGGCAGACTTTATCGCTTCCGTGATATTTTGCCATGGAAGATACAATGATAGTCTGATTTAATCAAAAACATGCAACTTAGAAAAATTTCCGCTGTAGATTTTGCGTTTTTTTGTAATTTTCTCAGCTGCTAAAAGGAATATCTAGATTTTTATTTCAGAATAGGTGGTTTTGAGGCAAGCAAAAATTTTTATAAAGAATGACATTTTTGCGTAAAGTTAAAATTAAAAATTTTTTCCCTCTTGTTCAGTCCATCCGGGGACACACTGTATATATTAATATATTATTATAAAATGTTACTTGTATTACAAACACAAAATACATATTATTATTATTACTATTATTATTTTTGAAAAATTGCATTTTAGTTTAATGAAATGGCTAAAAGTATTTCCTGTTTTAGGGTTAAATTTGGATCAAAATCTTTCAATGGGATCTGTCGGTCCCCAGTCACCTTTAGACATGAAACCTGATACCGCGTCGCTGCTGACGTCCGCACAATTTAGTCCACAAGGTCCAAATAGTCCGGGATCGTTTTCCCTGGGACACACAAGCCTATTAAGTCCCTCGCCGGGAAATCAGGCACATATCAAAAATTCCGGATCTCCTTACCCGCCGAATCATCCGTTAAGCGGATCTAAACATTTATGCTCAATTTGCGGCGACAAAGCTAGTGGAAAACATTATGGAGTGTACAGGTAATCAAAATATGTTACTTTTTTTGTAGTGGTCTACGGAAGCATTTAAAGGTGATTTTAAAAGAATTTCATATTTTCATTTCAGATTATCACAAAATGTAACAGTAATTTACATAGTACCGACATTTTAAAATGAAGTTTCATCATTGACTCTTTCAGTACTTCCTTAGTAATCCATTTTGTCTATAACACTCATATACAGGGTGAGTTTTTTTCATTTTAAGCATTAGGATCTCTGAAACCGTAAGACATACAGATTCAGTTAAATGAAGAAAGAGTTGTAGTTTTAGAAGCTTATTCAATATATGATTTTGTTTTTTTAAAAAAATCCATGGTTTACTAGATATGAGCGAGAAACAGATTTAGTGATTTTTGATTTAACTGTTGTAGAATCTTTAGTATCAGAAATACAGAAATATGCAAAGAAGAAAAATTGTAGATTTTTTTCCGCTTAATAAGATACATTTATTCATATTTATTCTTCTTTTATAATTTTCGAGTTATAACGCAAACTTACATTTTTTAAATGGTAATCATAGTTGGCTGTGACATTTTTAAAAAGTGAATTTTTTCTGTTTACGATGATATATGGTTCATTGTACTTACTTTGACAAATAAACATGATACAGAACTGTTTGTATTATTAAGAGTAGTAAAAACAGATTTTGCCATGGGAAACATTTTTGTTCTCTTCAATTTTCGTCGTAAATGAAAGGTATCTATCTCACTAGATATTGTTTTCCATGGCCAACTCTGTTTATTTACCTCTCAATAATACGAAAATTACTGAGGGGCGTTTATTTATTAAAGTACGTTTAGCAAGCCTTATATCGTTATAAAGAGAAAAATTTGTCTTCTTTAAAAATGTCAAAGCCATCTATGACTACCATTTAAAAAAATTAAAGTTTATATTATAACTCAAAAATTGTAAGATCTAAAAATAAATTAGTATGTTCATCATGTTAAGCATTAAAATGTCCAAAACTTTTATTCATGTCATTTTGTTGTATTTCCAATAATAACAATTCTACAACAGTTAAATGAAAAATCACTAAATCTGTTTCTCGCTCATATCTAGTGAACTATGGATTTTTTTCAAAAAACAAAAGCATATCTTAAATAAGCTCTTAAAACAACAACTCTTTCCTCATTTAACCGAATCCTTTTTATGGTCTCCGAAATCCTAATGCTTAAAATGAAAAAAAGCTCACCCTGTATTTACTAACGTCGGATAATAAGTTAGTCACTTTTATTTGGAAGGCAACTAAAACTTATACCTGATGTGCACCATTTATACTAAAAGCAAATAATTTTTAAATTGCAGTTGTGAAGGTTGTAAAGGATTTTTTAAAAGGACAGTACGAAAAGACTTATCATACGCTTGTAGAGAAGAGAAAAGTTGTATAATTGATAAGCGGCAGAGGAATAGGTAATTGTACAAGACGTACTACGTACTTCGCATTGAAACGCGTTTTTTTCAGATGTCAATATTGTCGGTATCAAAAATGTTTGGCGATGGGTATGAAACGTGAAGCTGTACAAGAAGAGCGACAAAGAACCAAAGAACGGGACAATTCTGAGGTGGAATCTACATCCAATATACACACAGATATGTCAATCGATCGCATCTTAGAGGCGGAGAAGAAGGCGGACTGTAAAAGTGACCAACCTGTCGAGTTTGAGAATGCCGTAACAAATCTATGCCAAGCCACAAACAAACAGTTATTTCAATTGGTGGAATGGGCTAAAAATATTCCCCATTTTACCTCGTTACCTTTACAAGACCAGGTATCCCTGCTGCGAGCCGGCTGGAACGAATTACTAATTGCTGGATTTTCACATCGCTCCATAGATGCAAAGGACGCTATCGTCTTAGCTACAGGGCTCACCATACAAAGGTATCGTACATAATTATAGACCCGTCTAAAATTCAAAATAATATTGCAGATTTCTTTTTAGAAATTCGGCACATCAAGTTGGCGTTGGCGGCATCTTTGATCGAGTCCTTACCGAACTAGTAACGAAAATGAAAGAAATGAAAATGGATCGTGCCGAGTTAGGATGTCTACGGTGTATAATTTTATTTAATCCTGGTATGTGTACGTATTTTGTATGTTTTGTTGTAGGTCATCTCGAAACATCCTGTGTAATAATTGAGTCTGTTCTTTGTTGCACACCCTGTATAATAGTGTAAAAAGTAATTGATTTAGTTAATATAAAACTTATTCGTTCTTAATACCCGAATGTAAACAGAGAAATTACTCCCATTTTTAATAAATTTTCTGTCACTTTTTAGGTTTTTGAAATGAAAGTGCTAAGATTTTTTAAAATCAGTAGTGGACTATCAATATAGTAGTTAATTGTCGTAATCACCTTGTCAGCTACTTGCCCAATATTCAGCCATTTGATTATTAGTCAATTTGCGCAGGGGTTTCGAGGTTTGAGTTGGAAAAGGGGCATTTAAGACGAACGAAATACTATGCACAGTTCATTTGATTTTTCCAATTATTTCTGAAACAACAAAGGTCCAAACGGTGAGCACAATTAAGCAGAATCGAAGTACTACGGACCATTCGGTTGTTTTTATTTCAACAAACAAATGAGTAACAAAAAAAAATTGCATTTTTTTTAGTAGCCAGAGATTTTTCTCTTTTCGATGACGTAACATGTTAGTATCTTTATAGAAGAATATTAAAAAAAACTTATAATTACATCAATAGATATCCTATATCAAAATAAAACAAATGAATGTGTTTCCTTTTGAACCTTGAAGACAAAAAGAAATTAGCAATAATTGCTGCATTGCTGCAGCAATTTCTCCCAGAATACTGGGATATTCATTTCAAGTTTTACGTGATAGGTTAGGCCATTGCCTTGTAGTTAATGGTAAACATTTGTTGGGATGAAAATCATTTTACTGCTGATTTTGTTTCGTCTTCCAGGTTTAATAAGAAATAGCAATAAAATAGAAACAAACGTACACATTCATTTGTTTTATTTTCATGTAGGGTATCTATATTAATGTTATTGATGTCGTTTCTTAATAGAGTTTTTAAATTTTTTTGAAAAATGTTCATGTAATTAATAGTTTAAGAAACTAGAACATGGGAGAAAAGTTTGATTATATAAAAAATGTAGCTTTACCTCTACAGTTCATAGAAAATCGACTAGATTTAGATAACAGAAATGAATATTTCTGAAAAATTATAACTTGGAGAGAAATATTCATTTTTCAATCGATTTAAGCCGTAAAACAAGCCCACTTTCTATGAATTTTATAGGTAAGACTATGAATTCCCTATATTTTTAGCGTGTTTTGGCTGCACGGGTTTTTTAAGTACAACTCTCGGAGGTGTTCCGCATTGCAATTTATTTCTTAATGAATTTGGGTGTGAGACTATGCCCTTAAATTGTAGGATTATATATTCAAATTATGTGGAGTTTACATTGGCTGCGCAGTGAGCACTTCGTTTTAATTAATTAAGTTAAGAAACGTTTGTGCAATTGTTGTAGTAGTTACAAATAGATTTGTGTGTGTGTCTGGTTTTTTTAAAATTCAGGTATATTTACAGATGTCCGTGGTATACGGGCCACTCAGGAGGTCGAAGTGTTACGAGAGAAGGTGTACGGACTTTTAGAAGACTATTGCAGAATTACGCATCCGGACGAGCCGGGAAGATTCGCAAAGCTGCTATTACGTTTACCCGCCCTACGTTCGATAGGATTAAAATGTTTGGAACATTTGTTCTTCTTTCGTATGATAGGTGACGTTACCATAGACACATTTCTAACGGAGGTTTTGGACACTGCTCACGATGCTTGAGTAGATTTAATATTTTGCGCGTTATTTATTCGATTTTCAATTTATTTCAAGTTTCGTGAACTCCAAAAGAGTGGACATTCATTATTTCTGTCAGTTGTGTTTGATATCTTTATCAAATTGAGACGCATACAGAGTGACTGCCATTTCACGTTGACGCCATTGGGATCTCGGAAATGGTAAGAGATAGATTAGGGCACAAGCATCATTTTGTCAAAAGATATCGGGATGCAATCGGAAATGTTACTACGTACGTACTTGTAAACTTAACAGTTGACCTTTTAAATTTTTGCAAGTTGGTAGTGTTGTGACATTTTTTTACTATTATTGTTTCTCACACTAAAACTATTTTGAGCACTCATTTTATTTATTAACTAGCCTAATAGTCGTGCATTGCTGTGATCTCAGAAGAAAGGAAAGGTTGTTACGATAAAATTCAATTTCATCAGGAAAACATTTCAAAGACATGTTGTAGATGTAATTTCCATATTACCGGATAAAAAATAATGCTATCTCTTACCAATTCCAAGATCCCAAGGGAAGTGGTCGTCATTCTTACCAGTAAAAGTTGACGTACATGTTATTTCAATTCCAATATTCCAGGTTTGTATAAAATCAATCCACAATAATGAAAGAGTATTTGCTACAAATTTACATAAATCGTTCATATGTTCTCCATCAATGTATTTGTATTGGTAATAATAATCACAAATAAATAAACCGTGAGGTGATTAGGATATAAAAATTTACAGATAATTAATAAGTGGATTGGTTTTTAATTAACTAGCTTGGGTACTACGGCAGCTTTTATGTATAAGTACCTAAATAACATTCCAAACTTACAGCAAAAAGAATGAATAAAAGAGTAGAATTGTAAGAGAAAATTAAAAAGTGAACACGTTGTTGGCCTACAGAATTTATTGTTGGGTGTAACTACAATGTGTAGTTATTCCATTTTATGTAAATGATTCACGTTTTTTTTTAAGGTAATGTCTACTAACTGTTCAAGTTTGAAGAATTTATTTGTTGGAAAATATTCAAACTCTATTAATAGTTTATATAGTATTCTTATGTCTGTAAGCAACTGTAAGAAACATGTCATATTTTTATGAAATAAATATTTTTCTTGTTTAAGAATGATCAAGGTTTATTTTTATTCCTGTTACTATTTATTCCAGTAACCAAATTTGTTTGACCAATTGTTGCATTTGCTTCTCTTTTTAATCTAATAATTACTTAATCAAAACCGCCAGTCTCAGGGCACAAATAAAGGGATTTTCAAGAGGGACTTTGTTTTCTATTTTTGAATTAATTTAGATAAAACTGAATTTTTTTTAAATCTGATGCGAAAGTCTTAAGTTTAAAAATAAGTAATGTTGGGTATCGCGACCATGACTTCTGCCCCCCACCCGTACAAAAAATGACATGCAATACACCATGCATAAAAGGAAAAATCCTACCTTATGAGGCCGCCTTTCTGCAATCTGTAACAAAGAGAAGATTTACGTTAGAAATGATATGTATAGTTTAAAACAATTGAAAATTTTGACTGGGACAGTAGTCAAGCGTTTGTTTGTTTGACCGTTTTCTTAAAGAAATTGAGCAATAAACACTGGCAATAAAAAGGAATGGACACTTACCCTTTAGCCTCAATAATTCAGTCTGTCCTGGGAAGAACCATATCAACCAAAGTAATGATGAAACACTGCACACTTCTCCGGCACTCCTCGTTCGTCAAGAACTGAAAAGTAAAATCGCAATATGAGAAAACGATCATTTTTGTTTTGTGCTTTTTGAAAACACACTGTATTCTCAATAGCGAAATTAATCATTGTAAGTACACCTTGTATAATAAGCAAATATATGTATATTATTATCAATTATCATTACATAGTATATGATACAAAAACGTAGAAAGACCCTGCCACAAAAATTACTTTGAACAGGTACGCCAATGCACGATGCACCCCATACACTCACTGTATCGTGCGCCAATGGTAAAATTTCAGTACCGAGGGAGTCAATATGCAACACATCTGCAAGTAGTACATACAGTTTATTGTTTATACTAATAAACTATAAATCTGATTTTTAATGCATAAGTTTACTTTGAAAAAAATCACCTGTTGAAGTGCAAGTGATAAGAAAAACAAGAGAAATTGTGGAAGAAGTGCCGCAATGACTGAAGGAATTGGGATGCGAATCCTGGTAACCGATAAGGGCCCCCCTTTGTCGCATTTTGTAAAATGTTTACGACGAGAGTGCCTTTTTACTTGGTTTGCTTATGACTAGCTATCCTTGTTCGTAAAGATGGCAGGTGTCGGAGAAGAGATGTCAACAACGAGGGTATTTACAGTGGAGATCGGTTCTCAATCCTTGGCAGCAAGCCAAATGGAAGTGGTAAAGTTGGTAAGGTTCGTTGAAATTTACAATTTGAAATTGGAATTGTGTAGGTAGTCCTGCCACGGGTAAAGGTTTCGTCAAATTGACGCAGTGGAACTGTTTGTACAGCTAAGAAACGTAGGACTAGCGCACAGAGTGAAGTTTAACGAAGTAACGCCTAATTGACAGTCTTCCCGGAAGTACCAGGATATACAATGAAATCGTCACAATCGTAGTATGAATGTTCTGCAAGTCGGTGATCATTTCTCTGTATTAAACGTCGAATTGAACGCAGCTGACATAACCTACTTCAACGGATTAATATGAAGGGTAGCAAAATGGCAGAGCCCTATCGTGCCTGATAAATAAAAAGGAAACTAAATATACCGCAGCAAGTTGTTTTATTATAAACCGTCGATACTAAGGTACGTCATATGTTAAGGCTAGCGCAAGCAGTGCTTACGTTCACCAGACGAAGCGCTATCCAAAGACAGGAATACTCTAGCAAGGTTTTTCTCGCGAGTTGCCGTGTTGAGGTCCGTATGTGGACTCACGGTGATGTGTACACCTCGACAGTGCTATCAGACACCCGTCTTTAGGTAGCGCTAATGAAGCACTTCGTCTGGTGAACATTATCGTAAACCGTCACCACAAAACTTTTAAAGGTCTACAAACTTACCCCACATCAACATAGCAATGAAATCTTAGGCGTCTTGATTCAAACACGAAAAAAGATGCACAAAACGTTAAGTTTTAAACGCAAACAAACGAATTTAAAATAGGACGCCATCTTCTTGTTTTTGCGATAACATTTAACACGACATCGAAAAGACCGATTTGTGAACACTTCCCCGTCGGTTTTTGTTACTTTAAGCGTTGAATTTAACAACAAATTCAAAATTTACGTGGTCGCGTCCCGAGATCCTACACGCAAACGCCGATTTAAATTCGTACGAAAAGGAGAAGGGACGCCATAACTTTTTGTAGTTTAATATTACGTTTAAATGCCGATTTACGTATGATGAACCGAAACGAACTACGTGCCAGAATTGTTCCCGTCTTTTATTTGACTTTTTTTAAGTTTATTTTAATATCGCACTTCGTAAATGAGCAGCAAACCGAAAAAATACAACACGCTTGGAACGGCAGCAACGACTAGTTGGTCACGTGACGAAGATAGTGATCGTGACGTCACAGCTGCAAGACTCGCTACGATTCGCCCGTTTCAAAAAATTGTCCAATCAAATGCATCCGGCTTTTTCTGTTTACAAGTTATTCCCGGAATTCTAAAGCGATGGCAAATTTACTTCCCAAGATCTAAAAACTGTTGCTATGCAAAACGTTTTCACGCAGAAATGGCGAAAATGACTTCTCTGCTTCCCCTTTATTGGTATACATACATCCATTATATAAGTGGTGTCATTTAATCCAAAACGTAAACAAAGCAATTTCATGCAACCAAAATAGGACCCAAACAAACGAAAGTTGCCCTAAATCTTGAAATGTGGAACTTTCCCATATTCCCGTGAGGTCCGGGCGTATGGAACCCTCCTCCCCCTCCATGAAACAAATTCAGTACATCAATCGTTAGATTGTTGTGCTCTTTTGTGACTCCCGGTACTTCGTTCTTGTTTAAAAACATTCAGCCCTAAGGGCACCCATGAAAATTTTTTATCAAAGACCATCAAGCCTTCCTTTCCCTACCCCACGGACTTTCCGGTGTTATGGTTCGTGGTCCTTTCTTAAACGTTATGGTGTAAGTGCTAAAACCATTAAATATTTTGGGGGAGAATGCAGAAGGGGGGAGTGTCTCGAATGCCTACCCAGGAAATGAAAATTCAGCGTTCCTTTCCCTAAACCTAGCATAACATTTTCGTACACTAGAGGGGACGGCTCAGACTGTTCCTACAATTACCATAAGATATTTTCGTGGATATTTTGATGAGAAGATTCGTTGCTCTCGTTTGGGATAAAATGATTAATAAATAAATCTACGATCTCCTATATATTTTTTTGAATGTTGAATGAAAACTGTCAAGTTTATTGTGTAAATAATAAACATAACCTGCAAACGCTATAATTGAAGAAAATTTAGTTTACCTGCTTACCTATAAGTAGGTATTATTAAGATGAATTTGGTTATCTACGTTTCAAGTAGGTGGCTATGAATTTCTCGAGGAATTCCTAGAATATGCCAAAGGATCGCCTTTTTCCATAAGTACTGTAACAGTTAATTAGAAATATAGTTATTGAAACCTACTTACAGCAATAACGTTACAGACCAATATTGACCTACGGTAGTAGAGAGAGTTGGGTGCTGAACGAATCACAAAAAACCAGACTAAAAAAGCTACTGAAATGAAGTACTTGCGAAGGGTACGGGGAGTTGGTGGAATTCCTATTAAGAAGATAAAAAAAGAAGTGGATGCTCTGATAGAGACCTTTGATAGACAAAAATTAAAACGCTTATTTGGACCCCTACTTGGAGGAATGGTAAACAGTCAGCTTGCGAAACCGTACATGTGGAACACTGGAATTCAAAATAGGAAGAAAAGGAGAAGCATAAAGACAATATGGAATATGCACCTAAATAGCAAGAATACTTCAACATCAAAGCATAGAATGCGAGGAGGCTATAATGGCGTCTCTAGACTAGAAAGAAAAGAAGTCTACTATTTATAATTTTTACGGACTTACTTTAAATGTAAATATGCGAATAAAATTTATATTATCGTTGACATTATTCAATAACTAAAGTGGTTTGAATTTGCAAGTACAGAAATCGGGCGATCAAAAATGAGGTGCTGTCCAGTCGCCTTTGGAAGTTCAATTTAAGTACGATTTCCGATGTAAACAAAAGAAGTGACTTGACAGCAATGCATTTTGGATTGCACTGTCAATAGTACTTGAAAGAATGGGAGAAAACCCGAAAGGAGATTGAGATACAAACTCACAATTCCGAGCAGGTTTCCCATGTTTGTGAATTTCCTCCATTTAAGAAATACCTACTGAAATAAAATAAATGTACGATCTTATAATTCATTTCGAGCGGAGTACTGTAAAAGTAACGGTACATAATGCAGCGTCGAGTCTGAACTAGTACTACAAGATAAATTGATCCTGATCGTTTCAACGGGTTGTGAAGGTAAAGAATTTTTACATCTGCTACCGATTATTGGCATTGGACAGTAATAAAAATCTACCTTATACTCCAAAAGTCTACGATGCGGATGTTGTTATATTTACGAGGAAGGTATAGTAAAATTAGTGTGTTTGACCACCGCATTGTGTACAATGTAATTACCGTTTTATCTTCCGTATGGTCTGCACATCAACAAGCATATCGCCATCCATCTTAATTCACCGAAAGATACGTACATTGATTAGTCAGACTATATTTCGTTATTATATCATTTACACCAAAATGAAAACTAAATATTAAACTTTTGAACATGCTTTGTTATTGTAGAATATCGCAAACTAAGAGATGGTACCTATGTAGCATTTCAAGGTTAAGGCCGTACGGTAATTAAGAAGTATGATGGAACTTTAAAAAAAGGTTTGAAAATTTACCTCAAGTCGATACCTATATTCTTGAAATCGTATCATAGACGTCTTGATCCAAAACAAGAAACAGAAACCCACGTAATTGCACAAGACAACACCAGTTTTAGGTAAGAAATTATAGACGGCACCGAAACGAGCGATGTGCTTTCCGAATTCGCTTTATTACTTTAAAGAGTTGATTTTTAATATCACGACACTTTATAATTTGAAAAACAATGCAAGAAACATCGAACACGCAATCGCGAGTTTAAATTCAAAGGGGACGCCACCATAACCAAACATTTTGAAACATGAAAACACCGATTTATTTAACGACGGGCCGAAAATAACGACGTGCCACAATTTTCCAAGTGTTTAGTTTTAATTTTCCGGCGTTTATTTTGTTATGATCGTTCTTATTTTCAAAGAAAACGGAAAAAAGCTGCATAGGACGCGTAAGCGGCTTCAACGATAAACTAAAAACTGGATCACGTGACATGACGCGATGACGTAGTTAGGTACGACGTCATCGCACGTAAACTGATTTTAGAAAATCGTCCAATCACAGCGCTTTTAAAACAAAATCTGGCATTGTTTATTTATCACGGATTTCACACAATTTAGGAGAAAACTACTTTTCTTTTGTGAAAAACTAATCAGTGATTCTTATAATGAAATGCACAGAACAAATTATAAATTTCGTTGACGGAAATTGCCATCTTAAAAGTAACCCCCACAAATTTTAAGGGCATGATGATTCATAGTAATAAAAGATAATTTGTTTATGATTTAGTTATTAAATTTGGGCATCAGATTTTTAAAAAAAGAAGGAAATTAGAACGCGTTATTTGCAATGGTGTAGCCGCCAGGGAATCCAGAGCCTTCAGGAAAAAATGAAAATAGTTGCAAAAGGTCCCACAGTTTGGAACAGATGCCGTAGGGTTGAATTCTAAAAGGACAATTGAACGTCTGCAGATGTTCATGTATAAGGGCGACTCCTAGGCTACCCAGAGACCGCTTCCAACACAGGGTTACAAAATGTGGTAAAAGGCTCTTTAAGAAACATTTGCAATATCTTTATTAATTTCTTCCATCACTCTCGCAATAAACCTACATACTGCTACCTCAGTACTCTAGGTATGTACACCGAAACGAAAGTACACACACGTTGTACTTTAAGCTGACCAAGACCTATTGTAGCCGCTCTAGACTTCTACCACTTGCAGTCCAATAAAATAAATAACACAAGCCATATACAACAAATTTCAATTCGCTACCTCGCCTACTACCATCTAGTGAATGCAATCTTGAGTCGAGATCTCACTTGATTAGAAATTACAAGCTCACATCTGGGGTAGTTTTCGAAAAAAAATATTGTTTATATTGGATAATTAGAAAGAAATGAAAGCTACTAACATAACATGTGATTATGAGGTTGATCAACACTGTGGCACCAGGGTGAGTAAACTATTGCAAAAAGCTACTCCTTGTTTCCCAACACTCATATACATCTATCATAATTACATCTATAAAAAATGGAGCACAATAGTTTATAGCTTGGTGATTTATCTGGTAGAATATGTTAATTTATTTTTCGGTACACCATGATGGTAGAAGGGTTTTGATTATAATAAATAATAACGTTACAATTCTTGTTGTTTATTCCAAATTATGCCGTAAAGGATCATGACGGTTGTTGGGGCTATAATGTAACTGGAATTACAGTGATGACCGAAGGCTTTATTAATTAGAGCGCGTTAAAATAAATTCAAATTTAAGCGCGCTTGCGTTTGCGTAGTACCGAGGGAGTCAATATGCAACACATTTGCAAGTAGTGTTTTCATGGTACCGGGTGATTCATTAGAAGTGATGATCGCTTGAATTTCGCGCGTAAGAGTTTAGTATTTTTTGCATTGTTAGATTGACGGTTTGAATTTCGTTAGTAATTTTTTTCTGTCATGACTGTCATTTAAGAAACCAGTGTGGTTAATTGTTGTGTGCCATTTGCGGTTTATTACTTTGAACAATTTTTGGAGTTGATGCACTAAAATATGTAAGAAACGTGACAGCGGCTCGCGTTAGTTTATAATTTGTGGTAAAACAAAGCAGTATTTGAAGACTATAAATAAGTAAACGATTTACTGAAAACATGATGATTCACCACTGCAATTAAATAAATGATCATCAGTTAGTACGAACTTCATAATTTTTTTAATTTGCCGGAAATTCAAACTGTCATCACTTCTAATGAATCACCCGGTATAATAAAAAAAAGTGTATTGTATGTATTAGTGATTTTCGTTTTTGTACTGTTGGTATTTGTTGTATTTGCGATAAAATTCAGTTAACCAAATTGCTGTGCGTTGTTGTCTTTAAAACTTTAAAATTAAGTTTTTGCACAGTTTCACTTATCATTGATCTTGTTATATAATACAAAATCATATGGCGGACGATGCCGAAAGCGACGATCAGTGGTTATACGGCGACGGCGACGTCGATGCACCTCCGCCACAAGCAGAAAAGCAACCGGAGGTAGAAGAGAAGGAGGCTGTGGCCGAAACAGACAACAGTGCCGATCAACCAGAAGTAGTTATAGTTCATTACATATTTTGTAGGAATTCATAGCGTAATTTCAGGAAGCAGCCCCCGAGGCCGATCCACCGCTCGATGACCCTCCCAAAGATAAACCGACGGAAAACGGCGAGGCCGTCGAAGAAGACAAACAAAACGGGGAAGGCAGTGATAAGGAGGACTACGACGAAGACAGTGACGATGACGTTAACGTCGTAATTGGCGATATTAAAACGAGTCCAACGTACGCTTCGCTTAACATAAAAAGGGGCGGCTTACTTACGACTACAACGAAAGGGGACAAAACATTGCAAACGCCCCAAACTGGAAAGTTTACCGTTGAGGAATTCGAACACGTGGGGTTGATCAATGGTATTCCTGCAAGCGAATTTAACTTGGACAGCTTGGAAGATAAGCCCTGGCGGAAACCGGGTGCGGATATTACCGATTATTTTAATTACGGATTCAACGAAGACACTTGGAGAGCTTATTGTGAGCGACAAAAACGGTATTTACATCTGTTACGCATTGTTTAATTTTTTATTTAAAGTTTTATTTTGTAAAGGAAACACTTAGGTCGTTTACGTAATGTCTTGAATGTCACATCCTAAATTTTTCTTATTTAGAATGCGTGTGTCGGAGTCGGGTACTGGGTTGCTGCCCCTGAACGCTATCGGAATGCCACGCGGGCCTCTACCGATTATGAATGATAATAGTAAGTATGCTGGTGCTGCTTATGCAGGAATAAGAAAAGCTGGACCTCCTCCAGGTAGAAGAATGACTGGTTCAATTGACGTTATCGGTGGTGCCACAAGTCGCATTGGTGTTCCCGTTTCGAAAGTAGAGGCTCCCAAAGAAAATGTTATACAGGTAGCCTAATCTTTACATTTGATAAAGATCACACTATACTAGATAGCCGATCTACATGTGTTAGTAAGATTTACGTTTTCTTTTACTAATTCATTCATTTTTAATTTAATCGGTACACGTTTTCTCAAATGGCAAGTAATTAAGTATTCGTGGATGCTGTCCATCTACTAGTTGAATTTGCTGGTGAAGTTTTAATAATGTGATATTCCGATTAACTTCTAAATTTCTTCTCTTCTCAATTTTCTTCATTTATCCTCTTTTTACATTTTCTTTTTTAGCTCTTTCACATCTTTTTCACGCATCCTTCTCAATTTCCTTCTGATCTCATTCGCATTTTCTTTTTTCACAACACATCTTCAATTCTTCTTCCTTTAACTGCATTTTCTTGTATTCTATCACGCTTTTTGCCTGTTTTTTATGACTGCACTTTTGGTCTTTTCAGACACACTTCTCCTTGCTTTTTCACACCTCCTCTATGCTTACTTCAATTTCTTTCCCTGCTCACTTACGCCTTCTTCCACACCTCTCTTCTTTACGCATCCTTTATCATATCACACCAGAGTTTTTCTTAAGAATACAGACAAAGAGATGATGCAAATTATTTCAGCCTAATAAGGGGGTGAAATGTACGTAGCTGGTGTCTATTTAGTGTAGTATGATCTTTGCATGCATTGGGGTTGGATATTAATCGGTACACTGTAGGTGATGACGGCCGATAGACGAGAATATAGCCGAAAGCCAGCCCCATTTCCGGATATGTCTGTCCCACCACCGACGACGTTCGAAGAGTTCCATCCGGAATACGACTTCAATCCTGAACCGGAACCGTTTTACGGCGGCTACGAACCTACTCAAGATTCCCAATGGGGTAAACTTTTTCTAATAGCCTCACACACTTTATAAAATAGTAAACACGCGCAGGAGGTAATTCTTCGTGGCAGCCGCAGGAGATAAAAACTCTAACACCGACCGCCCCACCCGGTCCGGTCATGCCTCCCGCTCCCGTTCCGCCCGTAAACGCACCTATGATGTCGAACAGGCATCCGCCGATGCCCGTCCCTAGCCCCGTAAAGGACGAGATGGCATTGTCTAGACGTTCAAAGTCGAAGGAGAAGGAGTCGATGCGGCGAGAAAGAGATAGATCTCGGGAGAGAGATCGCGATCGAGAGCGTGAACGATCTCATCGTAGAGATAGATCGAGAAGCAGATCTCGTAGGCATAAGTCACGATCGAGAAGTCCGAGTCATCGGTCACATCGTAAGAAGAAATCTAGAAGGCACGAAGATAGTGATTAAGTTAAATAGTTGTCGTAATCCAATTTTATTGTGCATTGTTTATTATTATGCTACTAGGTTCTACAGAAATAAATAAATTGGATTTATGATGCTGTTGAATAAGTTCAAAGGGTACTGGTTTCAACAGAATGGTGCACCCGCGCACAACGCCTTTATTGTGTAAAGATACTATATCGGACAAATTTGTATTTATAATAAAAAAATGCCATCCAATACAGTGTGTACTTGATGTCATATTTTTAATTTGTTCACAATTAAGAATCGTCCTAGAATACCTTTAAAATCTCGTTAGACCCTTCATTTAAGTTCTTGTACAGATGGAATTTTATTAGAATCCCAGTAACGTGACTATAATATATTTAAAAACTTTTTTTAGATTTTTAAAAATCAACTTTGGAATTCGAGTATGCACACTCTAATTTTTGGTGCTTTTTTAAAAAATAAAATGTGGAAAGGAATGGAAAAAATGGAGCACAATAGTTTATAGTGGCTTATCTGATGGAATATGTTAATTTATTTTCCCTACACCATGATGGTAGAAGGGTTTTGATTATAATAAATAATAACGTTACAATTCTTGTTGTTTATTCCAAATTATGCTGTAAAGGATCATGACGGTTCCGTTCGAGTTGGGGCTATAATGTAACTGGAATTCACAGTGATGACCGAAGGCTTTATTAATTTCGTGTGCGTTAATTCAAATTTAAGCGCACTTTCGTATGCGCAGTACTGAGGGAGTCAATGTGCATCACATCTGCAAGTCGTACATACAGTTAATTGTTTATACTATAAATCTGATTCTTAATGCATAAGTTTACTTTGAAAAAAATCACCTGTTGAAGTGCAAGTGATAAGGAAATCAAGAGAGATTGTGGAAGAAGTGCCGCAATGACTGAAGAAATTGGGATGCGAATCCTGGTAACCGATAAGGGCCCCCCTCTGTCGCATTTTGTAAAATGTTTACGACGAGAGTGCCTTTTTTACTTGGTTTGCTGATGACTAGCTATCCTTGTTCCTAAAGATGGCAGGTGTCGGAGAAGAGATGTCAACAACGAGGGTATTAACAGTGGAGATCGGTTCTCAATCCTTGGCAGCAAGCCAAATGGAAGTTGTAAAGTTGGTAAGATTCGTTTTAATTTGAAATTTACGATTTGAAATTGGAATTGTGTAGGTAGCCCTGCCACGGGTAAAGGTTTAGTCAAACTGACGCAGTGGAACTGTTTGTACAGCTAAGAAACGTAGGTCTAGCGCCCAGAATGAAGTTTAACGAAGTAACGCAGAATTGACAGTCTTCCCGGAAGTACCAGGATATACAATGAAATCGTCACAATCGTAGTATGAATGTTCTGCAAGTCAGTGATCATTTCTCTGTATTAAACGTCGAATTGAACGCAGCTGACATAACCTACTTCAACGGATTAATATGAAGGGTAGCAAAATGGCAGAGCCCTATCGTGCCTGATAAATAAATCGGAAACTAAATATACCGCAGCAAGTTGTTTTATTATAAACCGTCGATACTATAAGGTACGTCATATGTTAAGGCTAGCGCAAGCAGTGCTTACGTTCACCAGACGAAGCGCTACCCAAAGACAGTTGAATACTCTAGCAAGGTTTTTCTCACGAGTTGCTGTGTCGAGGTGTAAATACCACTGTACGTCGACTCACAGTGATGTGTAGACCTCGACAGTGCTATCAAACATCCGTCTTTAGGTAGCGCTAATGAAGCACTTCGTCTGGTGAACATATTATCGTAACCGTCACCACGAAACTTTTAAAGGTCTACAAACTTACCCCACATCAACATATCAATGAAATCTTAGGCGTCTTGATTCCAAACACGAAAAAAGGTGCACAAAACGTTAAGTTTTAAAGGCAAACAAACGAATTTAAAATAGGACGCCATCTTCTTGTTCTTGCGATAACATTTAACACGACATCGAAAAGACCGATTTGTGAACACTTCCCCGCCGGTTTTTGTTACTTTAAGCGTTGAATTTAACAACAAAATCAAAATTACGTGGTCGCGTCCCGAGATCCTACACGCAAACGCCGATTTAAATTCGTACGAAAAGGAGAAGGGACGCCATCACTTTTTGTAGTTTAATATTACGTTTAAATGCCGATTTACGTATGATGAACCGAAACGAACTATGTGCCAGAATTGTTCCCGTCTTTTATTTGACTTTTTTTAAGTTTATTTTAATATCGCACTTCGTAAATGAGCAGCAAACCGAAAAAATACAACACGCTTGGAACGGCAGCAACGACTAGTTGGTCACGTGACGAAGATAGTGATCATGACGTCACAGCTGCAAGACTCGCTACGATTCGCCCGTTTCAAAAAATGGTCCAATCAAATGCATCCGGCTTTTTCTGTTTACTAGTTATTCCCGGAATTCTAAAGCGATGGCAAATTTACTTCCCAATATCTAAAAACTGTTGCTATGCAAAACGTTTTCACACAGAAATGGCGAAAATAACTTTTCTGCTTCCCCTTTATTGGTATACATACCTACATCCATCATACGTGGGCGAATGTCCGTGTCATTTAATCCAAAACGTAAACTAAAGCAATTTCATGCAACCAAAATAGGACCCAAACAAACGAAAGTTGCCCTAAATCGTGAAATGTGGAAGTTTCCCATATTCCCGTGAGGTCCGGGCGTAAGGAACCCCCCTCCCCCCCTGAAACAAATTCAGTACATCAATCGTTAGATTTTTGTGACTCCCGGTACTTCGTTCTTGTTTAAAAACATTCAGCCCTAAGGGCAGCCATGACAATTTATTATAAAAGACCATCAAACCTTCCTTTCCCTACCCCACAGACTTGCGGTGTTATGGTTCGTGGTCCTTTCTTAAACGTTACGGTGTATAAGTGCTAAAACCATTAAATATTTTGGGGGAGAATGTCTCGAATACCTCCCCAGGAAATGAAAATTCACCGTTCCTTTCCCTACACCTAGCATAACATTTCGTACACTAGAGGGGATGGCTCAGACTGTTCCTACAATTACCATAAGATATTTTGATGAGAAGATTCGTTGCTTTCGTTTGGGATAAAATTATTAATACATAAATCTACGATACGAGTAGCCCCAAATCGTGAAATGTGGAACTTTCCCATATTCCCATGAGGTCCGGGAATATGTTCACAATTAAGAATCTTCCTAGAATACCTTTAAAATCCCATTAAACCCTTCATTTAAGTTCTTGTACAGAGGGAATTTTATTAGAATCCCGGTAACATGACTATAATATATTTAAAAACTTTTTTTAGATTTTTAAAAATCAACTTTGGAATTCGAGTATACTTTTGGTGCATTTTTAAAAAATAAAATGTGGATTGTTATTAGAATATCCCTAGAACTCCTCCGTAGGGATTGTTTACAATAGTTCTAATTATTTTAGAATCTTCTTTTTAGAATCGTTACATAGGTATACCTAATCTTTAGAAACCCTACAATTTCGTTATAAGTTTCTTAAAATCGTCATAGAATCCCGCTCGTATCGTATGGGTGGCATTCCCTAGGTATAGATTTTTTCACCTGGCGTCAACAGTCGTCTGTATGACTTAACGACAGTCGTGGTATGACTGCCAGCAGGGGCGGACTGGGTACTTACGGGCCAGGTGGAATTGCATAGGTTACGGGCCATTAAAAAGTATTAGTGTAATGATGGCGGGGGGGGGGGGTTGCAGCTCTGCTTTTTTGCTTCATTTTAAAGTATTCCTCTCTTGAAAGTCAATTAGAATATACAGTTTTTTTTAATTGCAGCTGATAATTAAAGGTAACAAAATATACATAATCTAAACGAGGCGCGTCGCTTGTAATTGTGTTTCAGCACTTTCAAAATACGACAAAAAATGATAAATTCATTGTAATACACTTAAATAAAAACAGAATTTTTTAATGAACAACCTAACATCAACCTCAATGAGAAAAACGTGTTAATAATTTATTAATAGTGCAAGAAACTTAATACAGCACAGACTTATAAATTTTCAACGGGCCAATATGACCTACAGGCCAGGTGGCAAAAATTCAAAGGGCTGTAACTTTTGAACTAGTAGCCCAATCTTGGAACTGTTTGAAATTATGGATTCTACAGGCCACATTCTAAAAGAAAAATTTTTGTCCGGGTCGATCTGAGACAATTTTTTCTTCGGGGCAAAAAAAAAGGCAGTGTATTACCTTCCTTTTTTTTACCAAAAATCGACTACACCAAAAATTCTCGGGAAAACACTTTTTCTTATTAATTTGGGTGCGTAGAATCCAAATCAATTCGTACTTTTTCGATCAGACTTCTCAATCAAAAGTTATAGGCTAGAAACCAATTTCGAAAAAAAAATTCAAAGGGCTGTAACTTTTGAACTAGTAGCCCAATCTTGGAACTGTTTGAAATTATGGATTCTACAGGCCACATTCTATAAGAAAATTTTTTCCGGGTCGATCTGAGACAATTTTTTTTTCGGGGCTCAAAAAAAGGCAGTGTATAACCTTCCTTTTTTACCAAAAATCGACTACACCAAAATTTCTCGGGGAAACACTTTTTCTTATTAATTTGGGTGCGTAGAATCCAAATCAATTCGTACTTTTTCGATCAGACTTCTCAATCAAAAGTTATAGACTAGAAACCAATTTCGAAAAAAATTCAAAGGGTTGTAACTTTTGAACTAGTAGCCCAATCTTGGAACTGTTTGAAATTATGGATTCTACAGGCCACATTCTATAAGAAAATTTTTTTCCGGGTCGATCTGAGACAATTTTTGTTCGGGTCTCAAAATTATTAACACGTTTCTCTAATTGGGGTTGATGTTATGTTGTTAAATGTTTTAATTGAAGTGTTTTACAATGAATTATCATTTTTTGTCGTAGCATGAAAGTGCTGAAATACAATGATAGGCGATGCACCTCGTGTGGATTGTATATTTTGTTACGTTTCAGCTGCAGTTTAAAAAAAACTGTATGGTAATTGATTTTCGAGAAAGGAGTACTATTTTTGTGGTGCACCTCAGAGCTAACCCCCCCCCCCCCCGCCACCTTCATTACTACACTAATACTTTAATGGCCCATAACCTATATGCAATTCCACCTGGCCCTTAAGTACCCAGTCCGCCCCTGCTATCCGCTATATTTAATTTAAATTCTTGAGAGGATGGCATTTTACATTATTGTAGATAATGATAAATAATTTCCAAATCTACATGCGTAATAAACTTTTTGATATTGCAATTACAAGAATAAGGGGTAAGGACATGTGAGCTGCCGAAAAAGTAGCGATTTTGCTTATTAAAGCGAAGATCATTGTCTGAAGTACTTAGTATGAACTTCGTTCAACCCATCCTCCTTTATGTTTTAAATAAAAATTGTTTTGGTACTAGCCGCATTTTTTACTTTAAATATTTATGGTAGGTTTAAATTAGGTCGTTGAAATAATTGAATGCGTCCACTTTTGGGGATTATCGATTTGTGTCGCGAAGGTGGCGCTACCGGAAAGAACCATAACCTAAAATGTTCTGTTTCCTTTTATAACGTTGGTTTGACCCCGCAAAATGGGTGAGTGAAATTTTTAAAATATCTTCTTGTATATTAACCATCCGTTACATTTTTAATTATATTGAAGTTAATTATGATCAGTGGAATTGTTTTAGCTATAAATTATCGTTAATTTTTTTGTCAAAACCTTGACACTGTCTGTTTTCTGGATAATTTTCCATGCTCTTCGTTTACAAGTAATGATGATTGTTTATTGCAGACATTTATTAGTGCTGATGAAAAACTAAATCATTCCACAGCGCTCTGATACAAACATTTTTCATTTACAAACTCTACCAAGCTTTGAGGTTAGAAACTGACATGTCCCTGTTTCAGGTATTAGCAGAGATCACTGGCATAAACGGCGTGCAACAGGTGGAAAACGTAAACCACTGCGTAAGAAGAGGAAGTTCGAGTTAGGTCGACCGGCCGCAAATACAAAACTTGGCGCGCGAAGAATACACTATGTTCGAACACGAGGTGGAAACTTGAAATACAGAGCATTGCGTTTAGATCACGGTAACTTTGGCTGGGGTTCAGAAGGAATTGCACGCAGCACGCGTATTATCGACGTAGTGTACAATGCGAGTAATAATGAGTTGGTCCGTACTAAAACTTTAGTAAAGAATGCCATCGTTGTTGTTGACGCTACACCGTTTAGACAATGGTACGAAGGTCATTATATTTTACCGTTAGGACGCAAGAAGGGAGCAAAGTTGGTATGTATCGAAACACATTCACAACTGCTAGCGTTTGTGATGAGTTTGCGTGTCAACTGAATTCAGTGATTATGCTCATTTAAGTTTAACTGAAATTGATGCCACTTTATTTTTCTTATGTCATGCTTCACGTTCTTGAAAGATGTATTTTGTAGTCTGAAGCCGAAGAAGCCGTATTAAACAAGAAGAGAAGCAAAAAAGTCACACGCAAATACACAACCAGACAACGGACGGCTAAAGTAGAACCTGCACTTGAAGAACAATTCCAAACTGGACGCATCCTTGGTAAGAGTTCCTTAGTTCTACACTTTGCTTAATTCACTAGTGATGATAAACTTAAGCGAGCCCAAGTTCCGGTGCAATTCGTCTTGAATTACACCTTTGGTGCTGTGATCAAGCTGTCATAGTTACTCTGAAATTAAGTGTTTTTCTCAATTGAAAACTTACCATTTTAAACATTTTTAACATTAATTTTTTTCTAGCGTGCTTGGCATCTCGTCCTGGACAGTGTGGTCGTGCCGACGGGTATATTTTAGAAGGCAAAGAACTTGAATTTTACATGCGTAAGATTAAATCGAAGAAGGCTAAATAGATGTAAATAGTGCGTTTTGAATAAATCTATCTAACGCTGATTGTTATCTTTTATTTTGTTTTACCTCTTTTTGTACTGTTTTAAATTGTGATTTTAACTAAACTTTAATTGTAATTCTTTGAAAAAACATCCAATCGCATCCCTTAACAAATTATAACACCGGCGGTATTGTCTGAATTTTGAGTAATTCATTGTGGATAACGCAAACACGAAAAAACATAAATTGTATCTGTTAACGGTTTAGTGCAGGAGTCGGCAACCTGTGGCTCTTTTAATGTAAAGGTGCGGCTCTGCATTTATCTAAAAAAACTTATTACGAAATTGAAAGTACACTTGCAGCACATAATTACCTAATTTGCGACACTTGTTTGTCTTTTTTTATTATGACAGCCTACTCCGATGTATAAATATCTAATTAATTAATAAGAAAAAAATTTTAATAACATAAAAATTATGAATTTTAAGCACAGGACACCTCGTATAAAAATTGAAGAGAACACAAAACACAATCGAATAGCGAAATAAAATAGTGGTAGATAAAAATTTGAAAAATAATAGTTATGGTACTGTTGAACAAATGACAAGGAAACAAGTACAAAAGGATGTTCTATTTAAATTATTGACACCTTAAAATGGGACACCCTGTACATTCAAAAATAATTTCTGTAGATCCACAACCATGTATAGTTGACATTTGCACACAAGATTTTTTAAAAACTTTACCAGCTAGAAATGTAATGTTGCAGGACCCTGTATATGACCAAATATTATAGTATTGATTCAAAAATTTTTAGTGGCTCTTTAAAAACTGGGAAATTTTGCAAATTGTAACTTTTGGCTCTTCCGTTTCAATAGATTGCCGACCCCTGGTTTAGTGCAACTACCAGCAACAGAATTTTATTGATAGCTGGGTTGACAATTACTTAATTGTGTAAATTTCTGTTAAAACATTATTTCAAGCTAAGTAGAAATGCCTGTATAAATTCTGTACACTTGAAGTTCTTAAAAGAGGCAGAAATGTTTGTTTCTTGTGATTCTGTTAGGATATTTCCTGGATGCAATGATTTATTTATTTAGTTAACTGAACCTTTTTTTCTACCTTTTGCATGCCTATTTTTATACCCCTTTCTCAGCTCAGAAAAAATGTGAAAAAGGGATAGAATGTCTGAAAATGTTCTATGTAAACCGTTGTATCATGTATGGCCAATAGTATAGCAATTTATTGCTCTGGCTAACTTTCGATTGCTTTGAACTGCACCTTGTGTCGTTTTTGTAAAAAACTAGTGCACTCTAAAAGCTCTGAAGTGTAGGTACATCAAAAATTTTAAACAGGGAAATTCTAGAGGGCGCCCGAAGAGCCTCAAAATTAAAGTCACTATATTTAGTGACTTTACTCAAAATTTAAAAAAAACGCCATGGAACCCAGGGAATTTTCTCTAGAAAATGTTGAATGTTCTGAATTCTTGTAAACGTTCTTTTTCCCAGAAATATTCTGAGCATTCTCCAATAAAAAGCTCTACCTTTAATTAAATAGGTACGCATTTTCATTTTACATTTATTCATACTTAAATAAGTAAATAAATAATAAACTGGAAGATTCTAAATTATTTATTTATGTCGTCGCTTATCATTTTCTTTATATAGAAACAATACCATTTTAACGTTCCAAATTATAAATTGAGTTCGTAGCACGGATGCACTTTATTCATAATCGCAGATTAGATGAAATGTAAATACATCTAAGACGTCGATGTTGCAATCTCGCTCGAGAGAGTAGAATTGAATGCGACCCAAAAGGGAACGTGCATGTCAAAACAAAATGTGGTTCGTCTCGCGGCGAGTTGTAGGTCGTTCAAATATCGATTATTTTGATAAGGAATTTGTGTTGTGGAAAATTTCCATCGTATCTTGGAATGCTGCGAATTAACTCCTATCTCCTTATCAGATGTGCGCTAATTCGGATTGCGTAATCGGAGTTTTTGTGATAAAAAAACAACGTCTCCATGTTTCGTGTTTTGTTGAATTAAATTCAATCGTATTTTGGGAACGTTAGTTACGTATAAACGTTTTGGATACCTGTTATGATCGAAATTCGCATACAATCCGCAAATAATGTAAGTAAACTTTCTTTTAAAATTTTTGTGTAATTTACTTGGTAGAGAGTACGGTTGCTTGCTTTGTTGTCATGTTTGTTTTAGCTCTAATTGTGACGAAATAGTTTAATTTTAAAAAATGTAGAAAGATCCATCAAGTAGGCGATTAATTTATCTCGAAATTCAGCCGTTCGGGTCAAGGTCGTTGGGGGGCGGGTACTATCTGCACACATTTGCTGCCCCTCTTTTAAAACGCGAAATTAATTCATTTCCGCGTGTCAAATTGCAATTTAGGGGATGTAGGGGCTCACTCCCGTCCTTGTAAGTTTGCCATAAAAATGAAGCCGTCTTTGGCGATTTAGGGGGGGGTTTGTCTTCAACCCTTTTTGTAAACTTCGTACAATTTGTTCGCAATTCGTTCGCACAAAGAACTGTTCTATTGTACTGATCGCTGACTAAAGAATGCAATCGACAGATCTGATGGTAGCACTTGTAGATAGTAGATCAAGTTGCAGTATAATTTTCTTAGATCATTGGAATATAAGATAATTTTACTTCAAAGTGGAGTGGCACAGGGATTAGATTTGGGGTCGTCACTATTTATTAATAGGGGGCAAGCAAGTTGCATCTCAAACCTCTCCTCTCGTTAACAATTCTTGGTAGTAATGCGCCAATCAATGCATGAATTTTCCATTGGTCACGCCTTTAAATGTTGAATTAATTGAATATTATCAAAGCATAATAAGTATCTCGTGATCTCGATAAACATAGGACACGTGTTTTTAGTATACAAATTGGTTCGATGGTAAATGTAGTTACAAGGCGATTAACGAGTGAAGTGATTGTGACCAAAAACGGCGACTGCCACGGTGCGATAAGTTTATGTGCCCAATTTAATTGGAGTAATTAAAAATCACGAGTCGCTGACGGTCGACGGCACTCGTCTAATCAATAGTGGTGTGTTACAAACGACCTTGATTTATACAGTTGCCACTCGATACAATGGGAATGCATTATCGCATCAGAACTCAAGTACGTACTTTGGGGATGAAAGCGTGTCGCATCGCTTCCCGTCATTTTCCATTGAATTGATCACTTTAGGAAAAATTCGCCCGACATACGCATTTACATGTCAGGCAGCCGTTCTGGGCATTTGAATTGTAATTATGGGACCATTACTTGCTTATAACACTATTATCTACGAATTCCGGTACGCTTTCATATCATAATTTACGACGAACTCGGGTCGTATGTAGATGGAACGGCAATCGCGTGTGTGAAGAAGGTATGCAACTCTGTAGTGCCGTTTCCGTACTATCTCAAAATGACAAAAATCTGTTACCTACTAAGCACGTCGTTATTTTGATGTACTGGCTAACGGCATTTGGAAACTAGCCAGTACACTGGATATCGATACATGTACAACAGTACTATGGTACTACCTCGGGTACTCGCTCGGGTACTACATATACTTTGCGATCAAAGTCACCTTTGGAATTTTTGTTTACATAAGGAAATCGCGAGGGAAATCGTACATAACTTGAATTTCCAAAGGTGACTCGATAGCAACGCATTTTTGATCGCCCGTTATATACCTACCTATCAGTGTTTGATGTATTTATTGGAGCATAAGTTTGTACTGGCTACTGTCCAAAAATAACGGAAATTGATAACCAGGAGATAAATACAATAACAGTACGACCAGTACCATTTAATACCACTTAAGGATCGATTGAATGTACATTCCGTTTTCTGATACCTTTACGATTATACCAGCATTGGTTGCCTTCCAAATTTCGCTAGGCGGTGCAGGGGATGTTGATGTCCGGTTGTGAAAGGTCCCCCACAGATGATCTAAGAATGCCAGAGAATAAACAAAAAATTCCTTAAGCCGCTTGTGAGCAAGAGGCACTTCCAAATTTGTTTTTTCGATTTTAATAGCCCTTATGGCCATGCCTTAACGAGAATACAAACATGAAATAATTCGAGAAATAATTTTTTTTCACTACTAGCGTCTGATGACATGATTATTAACCTTTTTTCCACTTGTAAAGTAGGCTTTCTCGGCATTTGTTCAAAGTGGTTAATAATTTTTATTATTAACTAGTAGTCAATAATGAGAACTGTCACGCTGTCACTTTTAGAAAACACAACCCGAAATTTCGCTCAATGAACGTTTAGACAAGTTCTCTAAAACGAATAATTGCCACCATTCGCAATTTCCAGAGAAATTACATACCTAAAATTATCACATTTTGAAAAAATTCGAACGAAATTACTCTTTGAAAAATCTCAATGACAGAACAAAATACGGCCTGTTTGACTTGTACTTCTACGTACTTGATTGACATGTTAAATTAATAAACAAAAAATTCTGTCCAACCGTTCACTTTCTTATCAATATAATATGTTAATTTAGAGGATTTCAAGTGCTAGTAGTGAAAAAAATAGTATATATACCACGGTAGAGAAGTCTATTATTGCCTTCGCACCTTACACCCCTCGGCGCAAGCGCCTCGAGATGTAATCTTGGTGCTCAGGCAATAATACTGTACTTCTCTACCTTGATATATAATGTACTATTAATTTCTAATCGAATGACACCAATATCAAGTCTGTAAGTGGTGTACTTTCGGAGCCTTTGTGACTCAGACAGACAGACAAATCAAGAGCGTAAAAGTGAATTTTTTTAAAGTGAAAGTGCACTAAAAATACGAGGATTAACGTTCAGGTGATGACGACTTCGATTGTCTATATAATTTTCTATTATTTATGACTTGTGAGTTAAAATAACATAGCATTATGGAGGTTTTTAGGGTAATCAATAATGCCCTAAAAGAAGTGTGGATGCGCTTACTAACCGATATTTTTATTTGAATTGTTTTAGTTACGTTTTACTTTTTTGTTTCAGATTTTGTTTATTTTATTAGTTGTGTTCCACTTTTTTGCACGTTTAACGTGAAATGTCGGCGAACTCTGGTGGTGGCGACAGACATCGTGCTCGTACAACTTCTATTGGATTTGGACTTGGAGCGCTGCGTGTCTCATTTCGGGGATTATTAAAAGATTCGAGCTTGTAAGTCTAGTTTTTGTTGTTGTCATTGTGTCGTTCATTTAAAGGACACCTACAATCAATAGAAAGCATTACTGACGTCAGATAAGGCCAATTGATTTTTGTAGCCTTTAAACAAAACCGCCGATAGTTTCAAGATAAGAGTAAGGAGCCAAATATGATGAATTGACATTCAAAATCAAAGGTCACCAATTTTGTAAAAACAAATCACTATCGTTGGTTAATAAATAAAACAAAAGGTAAACATTGCAAAGTAGTTCTAATCATTCAGCTGCTGGTTGTCACGTTGGAAACAAAATATGAAAAAAAAAACGTGACGAATCAATAAACATTGAACAAAAAAGTGATATGTGGCGGCAGCGAGATTTTATCATCCTATAAACACAAATATCATAAAGTTTATGTTTTTGGACTTCTGTTTAATTCATTGATACCGTATCTACTTCCTATGGGAATTACGTAATATCGTTATCTAATCTTACACTCTTATCCAGTATTAGATGCCTTAATTAAAGCACTCTGCATAAGAGCCTTCTGTTCTACCTAAGGTCCTTCCATAGTCTAGATGCAAAGATACTGTGGTCCTTTTTTGGTGTTTGGAAGTGACGTTTTCGTCTTCCTAATAGCATTGAATAAATAATTCGGATGTAAACAACCAATCTTTTTAACGTTCGTTTTTAACTGTATGCTACCAAGTATTTTGTGTTGCATAAGTAACGGGCGAGATATGTAAACGTTATAATACAATTGTCATTTATTTCATACGTAACTAGAATAAATTAAAGTTTTTTTTCCTGAATTTCAATTAATTGGCGAGGGACATTGATCTCCATTCGATCATTTAGTTGTGAATTATGTATTCAGCATTTTAAAAATGGCAAATTATCTCCTGAAATAGTCTACCGGGAGATCCATTATGAATATATTTCACCCGAATCGAATTACTCCAGAAAATGCGGCGTTTGAGTCACGCTACGTTTATTATTCCAATTAAATGGCGGGTCAGCAGAATTTATTCTAAACAAAAACATCACTTTCTAAACGAATAGGGACAGACTTTGATGTTATTGCACACTATTGTTTAAAGAAGGTATTTGAAGCTTGTTAATATACAGGGTGGTGACTTGCGTAACGCATCATAGGGATTTCAATGTAAAATTCATAACATGCGGTTATTTGCTCCCCAAATTATTTTAGAGCAAAAATGTATTAAGGTTTTTTATAGAAAAAAATTTTTTACGTCAATCAATTACCGTATTAGTTTTCAATTTTTTGCTTAATAAAGACGGAAAATTGGAAAAATAAAACCCCTATCTTTTTCAATAATCTGTGATGCCATGGAATTTTATTCAAAAACTACGCCAATATCCGTCATGCCATGGAATGTCTACTATAAAACAAATGAAATTCTATCAAAAAGTATTATATTTAGAACCGCGAATTCAACATAAAGAAAGACCAAATTACTAAAAACGGTTTCCTAATATAACAATTTACAATAAATGTTCGAATAAGTCACCATTAACTGCAAACAGTAACCAAGTCGATCATAAAATCCATTTCGAACTGCTGATATCTTTTTGTTTTAGAAAATTCCATGGCATCGTAGATTATTGAAAAAGATGCGAGTTTTATTTTTCCAATTTTCCGTCTTTATTATGCAAAAAGTTGTAAACGTAATGAAAAGGTTATAAACAAATGAGGTGTAGGTGTACAAGTTTAAAAATTTGATGTCGACTTTAACAAGCTCCCTTCGAAATGGTACCGAAGGCACCCTCCGCGCCTTGTCGAGACGGGCGCGTATGGTCTGCAGTATGAGGGATAGGTTAGGTTTATAAATGCAACTCGATAAACGTCATTAACAAATGTAAATATCCCGAATGAATTTCCTGAATTCGTAAAAATGAAACAATTTTAAGAATCGGGTATATGTAAAGAATGTGAAGAACTTGAAATATCAGAATCCGAAGATCACAATGAGAGTTTTCTAAAGAAGCCCAAGAATCGAAAGCATTTGCAAGATCTAAAGAGAAGAATCGGAAGACACTTGAAAAATTCAAGAGCAAAAGAATCGGAATGATTTCGTGGAACTGAACCTGAATCCGAAGAATTTAAACAATCCGAGACTATGGTCAGAAGAAACTGAATAATCTGTAAAGTTCCAGATGTTTGAAACTCGTAATAAGATCTGAAAGATGATTCGCATTCGAATACCTATCTTTTATTAATATTCTCTTCACTTACTGTGAATTATAATAACTACGTGCCCATCTTGGCTTCTAAGGAATTCAACAATGGTTAAGTGAAACTTCGAAATTCAGAACGCAGGATTTTTTCAATTCGTAGTTGTTTGGGTAAATTTTACCTAGTAGGTAATCAAAATTTTTATACAGGGTGGCTTATTTTATCTTATTTGCAGGAAGCCATGGATTTTTGAAACAAAATCAATTTGGTCCCGAAATAAGAGGCATTTGTTTCCATATAAATGGATTACTGGGTGACTCTTAAAAATATGAGATAATAGCAATTCTCCCTGTTTTTGAAAGATAGCAGATAGCAATGATAGTGACTGTTCTTGTTGCTCTTCAGAATTACGGTGTAGAAACATTTAAACAATTTCTGACTCACTCTCGCAAAACGGTGTAATTGGGCAAGTGTGTTACTTTCGACATTCATCGAAATAAAGTCACCTTCACAAGCTTGAGGTAAGCTATTGAATTGAATTGAATCTTGAGTTCCGCGGTCTCGGCGCATTTAGTACAATGAAATACGAGACCACCAGAAGGGGCAGTTACCCTAAGGGGCCAAATACGTTTTCACACATTTCCCATCCTAAGTTATTGGGTCGCAATTTCCAGATCTCGATTCTTTCGAGTCTCGTACATTCATTTTCGACGGTAAAGAAAGTGTATTCTTCTAGTGACCTCGATCTTGACAAATAAGCGTATTGCCTACGTAACCGCGTTGATTAAAAAGGCATCAAGCTAGGTGATCGCGGACGGACGGACGGACGGAATTCAATTGTGTATACATATTTACGAATAAAATTTCGTTTTCTTTTAAATCAAATATCGCAACCAATTGAAATGCGCGTAGAAAAACGCGAGGGGCGAATTTTATTACACTTTAATGGATTTTATATTAGTTCATGACGTCAGTGTAACAAAATATTTGTATTGATTGGGTTCGCATCGTCGTTTTATTAATTCCAATTAAAGTGTTGTCGGCAATAACAGAATTTATGAGGTTGGAAATTGAAATTAATGGTTGTCTGTGACGTGAATTTTAAGTTTGAGGCACGAGCGCGCAAGTAACGAGTGAACCAAGACTAGCGATTTTTTTTTTGAGAACTAAAAGAAAATCTACTTTAACAGCATGGCAACATTGTCGACACTAATTTTTATCTTCCTCTTAAAAAAGTTTTTAAATTAAATTTTTCCATTGCAGGCTAAACGTATAAAGCATGGATTCGACAAATGTATCGATATCGTGGGATTCGTTCCTAAAGGCTATAAACGATATGAAAATGTTATCCGATAGTATCAACGACGATTGGCTACTAAACGAACATAGCGCCGGTGTTTACTTGTCTAAAAAATTAGTTAAAAGTGTATCCGCACGGTTGTTCGCCCTCGAAGAGTGTGACAACGACGGGGGAGATAACGATGTTTTAATTACGTACGAATACCATGTGGTCTATAACGCCAGTTATGGCTGCCCCGTTTTGTGCTTCAACGCCTGGAAGACCGACGGTAGCTTACTAACAATCGAAGAATGTTGGAAACAATTTAATTTTGCCAATGCCGATTATAAATACAACACGCTGACACAAATGGAACACCCCTTACTAATGAGGCCTTTTATAACTTTGCATCCGTGCAAAACTTCAGAATTAATAGGAACGTTGATGAAAAGTAACAATCTCGTCGTTTCGTGGCTTAGTGCCGTTGGGCCCGTTGTGGGACTGGATGTGTCTTCGTGTTATGCAAGCTTGACCCTTTGAATATTCTGTGAAGCATTACTAACCATAAGAATAAAACTATAGAAAATGATCCGCCGCAGTTTTTAATTCATCTAGCAAAATATCTATATAATGGTTCACGGAGACGTTAACATATTTCCATTACAGCAAGTGATAGTTGATAGTAAAAAAACGTTGGAAAAAACAATTGAAAATCTGCTTTTCTAATTAAATTTTTTTCGCGAACCACCCTGTATATTATTTTATATGAAGTTCGCGTCTTCATTAAAAAACGAATAATATCAAACGACTTTATAATCAAGGTGGCGATTAAATCTGATATTAGTGTCTGGAACAGGTGAAAAACTGCCTAGGTATTCGAAAATAGAATTTCTTCTCCCAGAAATTGTTTGGATTTTTTCCAAACTCTAATGACCACAACCGATCGTTAGATAAAATGGTAAATGCTTCTACCTACATTTACGCGATAAATAAAGAGACAAACTTTTAATTTCCACTGATATTCTGTTGACAGAAAAATGTATAAAGCGAAATATAATTTTAAATTCCAAATAGTCTAGGCGATAGAGACTGTAAAATTGGCAAACTGGACATTTTGAGGTGGAAAAGAAAAAAATGGTGGAATATGTTCAGTTAGGTGTCAGAAACAACATATTAAAAATCCCAGCCCCCAGACCCCTGTACTAAAGGCTCCAGCCACCCCACCATCCCCCAAAAACCGCGTTTTCGCTCTTTTTGGCTGATATCTCGCGATCTATGAGGTCTATGTGAAATATTTTTACCTGAAAATATTTCTCGGGAAATTTCATACGAGGGAGATACTCAGAAGTTAGCCTAGGTGTACCTCTTAGCCTAGGAAATTCATAAAAGAGGCGAAAATATACAATTTTCGTGGCTTTTTGCAAATATATCGCGACCTTTAGCCTAGAAAATTCATTTTCGTGTTTTTTTTTTGAGGTTTTTTGCAAAAATATCGCGACCGTCAGGGCTAGATGAAATATGTTTAGCTGAAAATGCTCTTCGTGCAATTTCATACGAGATAGGTAACTGAAGAGTTGGCGTAAGTCACCTTTCACCTTCAACTTTCATGTGTGAGGAAATATTCATTGTAAAACAAAGTATTTCTATGTACCATTTATTCACGTAAAAACAGTATTTTCATAACAAAATATTCACACATTCATTTATACCTCAACGTAATCATTATCCTTATACTTATCCAAATCAATTCGTAATTTTTCGATCAGACTTCTCAATTAAAAGTTAGATACTAGAAACCAATTTGAAAAAAAATTCAAAGGGCTGTAACTTTTGAACTAGTAGCCCAATCTTGGAACTGTTTGAAATTATGGATATTTTTGCAAAAAACCGCAAAAAACACGAAAATTGATGATTTTCGCCTCCTTTTTGAATTTCCTAGGCTAAGAGGTACACCTAGGCTAACTTCTGAGTATCTACCTTGCATAAAATTTCCCGAGAAATATTTTCAGCTAAAAATATTTCATATAGACCTCATAGATCGCGAGATATCAGCCAAAAAGAGCGAAAACACGGTTTTTGGGTGATGATGGGGAGGCTGGAGCACAGGGTTTGGGGGGTGGGATTTTTAATATGTTGTTTCTGACACCTAACTGAACATATTCCACCATTTTTTTCTTTTCCACCTCAAAATGCCCAGTTAGATGTCTTTATCGCCTAGACTAAAATGTTGTATAAAGTAAATTTAATAAAACCTGAATAAAATGTATTGTAACGTGATTTATAAATTCTGGTTCGATTTATATCAATATTTATTAAACAAAACTAAAACACTATAAAAACCGTACAATTTATATCGACTATTTATATCACACACTTCGCAATTTATATTTCCGCGCTCTATGTTTCATACGTACTCGATCTCGTTCGGTAGTAGACTGTCGCGATGTTCGGTCCGCAACCATTTATACACGCAAGCAATGTAAGTCCAGAACATTCGCGTAATTACCAGATACGTGCAAACATTCCCACTATCGCGCGCCTAGAAAATTCCAGAGCGCCAAAGGCGACGTCATGTCTGAAGCGTTTCCGTTACAGTATAAAAACACAACTGATGTGTGATATTAACCGATGGCAATTGGTTTTCCCAGCAATTTTGAATGGGAAGGTTTTATTTTCAAAAGGCTTTTTTTTAAAATAAACTAAGGATAAAAGTCTTATCTGAAAGTTACATTCTCATAAAGTGTAAAACTTGCGAGAAAACTTGTATTTCTTGAAAATTTGTTACACCGATTTCTTAAAAGATTTTTGCGAGGATTTTTGTATATTTTGTGGCCCATTAATTAATAATTGTTTGAATTTTTTTTAATAGGTTTCCATTTGTGAGGTTTCCGGCAGACCGGTAGACATACTCATAAACGTCTAAATACCATCTTTGTATGTGTTACGGTTGCTGAGAAAAAAAAGAATGAAACATTGAATCTTTTGTTTCTTTGAAAAAAATGTTTCTGTTGTTTACTGTGCTATAGTAATTTTCCATGGTTTGATTACATCTTTTCTAATTTGATTAGACAGTTGAAAATCGCTCCAAATTTTACGCCAAATGTGTTAATTAACGCTAATATGGAAGTATATATCTGTTATTTAGCACTAACTGACACATATATTTATCCGTCACACACATTTGTGTGTCAATTAGGGCTTATTATCAGGTCTATCTTAGAATTAGCACTAAGTAATTTATTTTGACAGATGGAACTGTCAATAAGTTCTAATTGGTAATGTCATTGAGAGGAAATTCTCCCATGGTTCTACTCTAAGCCAAGAATTTAAATCAGAGTGGGGTACTCTTCTCGGACGTTGTTGACATATTAATTCATAAAATGCAATTGCGTTGAAATCCAAATTTATGGTTGTCAGTCATTGAAGAAAATTCAAACCGCTTTTACGTTAATCAATTTAAATTACTCATATTTTGTAGATCGCCCAAAGCAACTTGATTGATTAAGGTGATTCGCTTTTTAAATTGATACCATCGGTAAGGTGCAACTACCATTTTCGTGGTGCGATTACACGTTTTCGTGCTTTTAATTAATTGATTACTTTAAGTGATGTTTTGCGCACCGTAAATATCGTATGTATATGGGCGTTTTACTACATTCGCTCGAGGTGATCATAAAATGTTACTCTTTTAATTCGTTTACACTTGGAAGTTTTTATTGATGTAATTTTGATTAACCGTGAGATACCGGTTTATTTCTATACAGGTGACAGTTTCCATTATATTTTCCACCCTCTCCGCTACAATAAATTTTTTTCAATAATTCTGTCGCACACTTATTTTTTAATTAAAAAATACATCACGTAAGTTTTGGGAGGTAACTAGCGACCCTTGTACTATAAGATGGTAAAAAGGAGTCGCAGAAGAAGCATTTTAATCTAATGCGATGGTAACACCAGCTGGTACCATTAAAATGTTCACACAACCACAATATAATGCCATCTTTAAATAATAAAAAAAGTAGGAATAATAATTTAAATTAATTCCGTCTGTGCAATATTAACGCTATTTTCGTGTACATCGTTTATGAGGCACGTCGACTGGACGTGGAACATATTGTTTTTACGCTTTGATCGGTCATAACACGAATTCGCCTTCGCTATTTATTGTTGTAAAATGCTTTGATCTTTCCGTTTCGATAACGCGCGAGCCATTACGGATTCTATGTCTTACGGAATATTTATGGTATTGGTAAAGCATATTTTTTTAATACAGTAACGTAAATTTCATTACTATCTAAGTAATACATATTAATCATTAATAAATTGTACACAAATACCAATGCAAACTTCTATAACAATCACTTCGTCATCGTGCTTGGAACTGCCATAAAACACGCCTTAATTAGAAAGTTTTTAGAAAAAATGAGGGAACGTTCTCAAAGAGTCTAGAAGGCATATCATATTTCAAGGAATGAATGCGCCGTACCAGCTTTCATTATTCATCAATCTTTTATCGACTTGATGGCGCCGATGCATCGATGTCTGGGATACTCGCTACCCTTCTATTCTCAGTTTAATTTCACAGCAATTGTTTTTCGGAACAAGGGTTGCGTCTTTAAAATAATATCTTCAAGTATAATACTGTGTCGAAGATAAGAATGTCTATCATGGGGATCTCCGAAACCATACGACGCGACGATGGTCAAATTAGAGAAAAGGTGCGATTACTTCCGAAGGTATTCCAAAAAAACCGACATTTACCGATTTCGTTTTTAATTTAATTTATTACTGAAGTTTTTTCGCCAAAAAAACCGATACCAAATAAGTTATTTCGGGTTTTGTGGAAAAACCGCCGATTTTCCGCCATTTTTCCAAGATGGCGGCTCTCGCGTCATGCGGATTTTTGTACAAATGTCAAATTCGGATTCAGCGACCCAAAAAACATAAACCCTGCATCTCGGTTCTTTGTCTCAGAAATTTGCAAGGTGGACCCCTGTTTTGAGCTCTAGAGCCTGGACTAACTTACAAATAGGAAATGAATGCGCTTTTTGTAACTCTGTTCGTATTAATTACTTGATCAACGAAAAGTGTGATGGTTACATCAACCTTGCTGTAACAAATACGTTAACCTTTAGTGTGCACCTAGTTCTGGGAGCGACAGGTAAAAATTGCACGCTGGAATGCGTCTAGTAAAACAATCCAGGCTCGGGGTATAACTACTTTTGTAGATGCAGAAATTTTCGACTTTATCCGTCGTTGGTTACAGTTATATGAGCGCAAATTGGGTCAATTAACCTTCGTCAGCGAACAATACAATGGATTGTCCAAAATGAAGTAAACACTCCTTTCGTTACATAATAGGTAGTGCTCGATTGGTACGAATGGAGGTACGTCTCGAGGGAAGGTCATGGCAAGCGAATGACATCTCCTGCTCGATGGCCTTTAGCTTTACGTATGACCCTGCTCCATATCCTCTCCACCTTTGCGCCTTCCTTTCAATGGATCATTTGTTTTTTTTTATTGTTTACGATTTTACGACCCGTAAATTATTTCGTCACCTTCGCCGTTTTCGTATTTCTAAAAATAGTTCCACTAGAAATTTTTTCTGAAATTTTTAAAAATCGCTACGGAAACGTAATTTAGTGTCAACGTTCTGCGACCAGTTTTGGTTTGTCGACCATTCGAAATAAGCGCAGACCGCAGTTCTGTTCCCGATTTGATGGCAATTCAAAATAAATCTAAGGCGACCTAGAAATTATACACCGAAAATAATACAATTTCATCGAACTCGCGATGACTGGCCGAAGGTCAATTTCGGGAAAGTATTAGTCAAACTGTCGCTCCACCGGCCTCAAATTTTGACTATACTCGCTCAACTTTAACTTGCAATCGTTTTCTGAAAGACGTTACTGGCTTCAAAAATTTTGGCAATTATTTTTCTACAGATTATACTTGTTTGTTTGCAGTAATTATGCGTATTTGTCTTTCCTTCCATAAACAAGATTAGATAGTTTGAAGTGCGCGAATGAAGGCTGTTGTACTATCTCATGATAATCATTGATCAAAGTATGCCTTTGTTTGCGATGCTAACTAAACTGAGAAAACATTCATTTCTATGTCAATCAATGTCATGAGGATGCCTGGGAAGGAGCTTCAGTTGGTCTTCTAAAAATTGCATAAAATTGACTGGGGGTTTGATACTAAATAAAATTTAGTTATCGACAACTGTCAAAAACACGATGAAACCAACAGTTTCCAACTTATGCTTTTTTTATTGCCGTATATCGTTGTATTCGTAATAAAAAAACAGTAACTAACGGGCGATCAAAAATGAGTTGCTGTCGAGTCGCCTTTGGAAGTTTAAGCTAAGTACGATGTCCCATGTAAACAAAAATTCCAAAGGTGACTCGACAGCAACCCATTTTTGATCGCATGGTACTTTTTGTATGGTCATATAAAAAATACAATTGATGATGATTTCTCCGAAACGAAACGTTGCATTGATCGTCTGCCGTTTACCAAAATGCGACCCGCGCAGGCAAGTTTTATAATCCACGCCAAGTTGATCCACCGCGCTCGCTCATCTTGTGACGCCGAGAACAAAGACTTGTTTCTGGTTGAAATATTTTTATTGCTCAAATCCCAAAAGTTACTCACTAAAATAAGTATCGTCGTCAGTGGCCCGCCGATAATGTCTGAATCGCCCGTTTGGCCCGCCTGCTATATACTATGTGAATCATTTTTGTAGAAACAAAGGTGGGTGTCTCTCATATTTTGGAACGAGTTCAGCTGTCACGTTTTGGTCCAAGGACTAATATTACTCTTTCATCTAAGGCAGATGTTTTCTATTTAGAAAAAAACAATAACAATAATTATCTTTCATTAAGCAAAGACGTTTTTATTTTGATTATGATTAATGTCCAGATGTGCTTTTTTTTAAGTATTCAATATTGGCAATTAGATTTGATGCAGCTTGATCATAGGCCAACGTACGTAAATAACGTGTAAAAATAGAAATGAAAAAACAAACATTACGTATGTATCTTTTCCGCCACTTCTATTTGCAAAAAAAAAACAATAAGCATAAATCGAGTTTGTCGGAGATTTCGCCATAATTTCAAATTTATTTTGGACGCCGACTAAAAATAGTCGTCGCTTTCGGCACAGTATACGATAGCCGGTTTAGTCTGTTTACATATTCGAATAATTTGCATAGTATTAATAAAAAGGACAATTGCCCATAATTGCCATTTTAATTGTGTTAATTAAACGGTGACATTGTAAATGAAATATTTTTTTAGGCTAATGGTTGATACACGCATTTTGCTAACATTGTTAGCATAACAAACGATGTCTGGGAGAGCACCAATTTTTATTATTTAAAATAGTGTATTGTTTTCCTTTCGCTTCACAGTCGTGATCCATTTTCTGACTATTACTACTCACATTTAGCTTAAATATATTTATATCTTATCTATAGTCAGAAACAGACGAAAAACAAGCAGTAGACACCAAGCGCGTGGAGAATATCTTTATTGTATACAATGCAGGGCCCAATATTGGACCTTGCGGAACTCCTTCACTGCCATTACCCTACCACATTTTGCACAATGTAAAGAGTAAATGGTAGGCAAAGGAACTGTAAGGGGAATTATAATCATTCCTATTGTTAAGTATGCATTAAGGAGGCGTAGTGGTTAGTGCACTAGCCTACCAAGTACCCATTAGAGTCGATTCATTTTTTTTTTGGGCTAATAAAAGCGGTTAAACGGCGTAATTCTAGACACATTGCCTCCATGGAAGATATTCCAGATATGGTAGGGGTGGCCACAAAGCAAAGATGTATCAAAAATGGTCCTAATAAGTATAACATTTTCAATTGGGCTATTAAAAGTCAAAAATGTTAGCCGTCAGATAATTTCTTAAATGACAAAGTGCAATTTACTATGCAAATCGGCGCCATTAACACGTCATCTCTTAACCAAAGATTGGTGTATAGCGGCAAAAGCCTGTTTATAATAAAAGTGATTTAATGAGGTACCTACATATTCATTTCGAAAAACAGCGATAAAACAGAATTTTATTTAAAGCATAAACGGCGACATTTGTTACTCGTCTTAATAAAATAGGGCGCCCTACGCATAATCAAATTTAATTGTCGCGTCGTAATTAATTGCTTAAATCGATAGGAATCTTATGTGCATCTCAGGGAAAAAGTGTTAATTTGCAATACTCAGAGACTCTTAAAAAATGTCGACAAATTGACGAAAGGCAGTGGGATCCATTAATAATCCGTAATTACTTTTGTTCTTTGCATGTAATTGCAAAATGCAGTGCTATCGAATCCTTCACTATTATACCTGCCATTTTTGTGCGATTTGGAAATACTCGAGACCTGGATTTTCGACAAAAATACTCCCTTATCATTTTCCTCGAGATTTTTTTTATCTGTACTGTACGAAGGTTTATTTTGGGTTGAACCCATTTCTGTAATTAATTAATTACATAAATTTTCGATTATTGTCAAAAGGGAAAATTTCAATAAAAGGTACAAGTACTAAAAAGGAGCATCATAATTTGGACTGGTGCCTACGATGAAACAAGACGATTTTTTTCTAATTTAGGATGGCAGCGTTAAATCCGCTCGACTATGTACTCGTATATTTTCCGCGCGTGGGTGCCGTTTCTCCAAAATAGAATCTGCAAGAAAATGTCGCCGCATCATTTTTTATCTGAATATGTAAACGTTCGTAATCTCAACTGTTAGTAAACTCAGGATTGTGAAAATGTGTCAAGAAATTATGAAGAAAATATGTGTTTCGTTTCAAGATTCTGAGAAGGAAAGTAGACCGAGAGCCCGCGTAGAAAATACCTCGTCATAGGGTACAAAAGGTTTGATGTAACTAGGCCATAGCATTGTTTAATAAAGTATTTAAACAATGGCCGTAGAATGTCACCGTGATTCCAAAATCGCCCGTCTGCCGGCCCGCGGCGGTCAACTTAGCGTGGGGGCGAATTTTGAAAACTGTTCCAAATCACATAATACTTCGTCACTGGCACACGTATGATTTTTTGCAATCTGATTCGGAAATGTGCACCAAATTCATAGTTGCAGCGGCAGACGATTTATCTGGGCAACTTTCCCGAGCAGAAGCGTTTAAAAACATTCAAAAATTGTTAAATACCTCGTCATAAGGTACACGCTCGAATTATAGCTTAAAATAAAGCTCTTTGAATGTAGAATTTGGGAAAACCATGAAAATCGCCGCAGACGGTCGTATAACTATAGCAGTATAAGCAGCAAGTATAAATTTAATAAACGTCAAAGGCAAATAATGAAACGTGATCGCTGTTTTTTTTAGGTAATTCCAAGGCATATTTGATTTATTGTAAAATGAACCTTTTTATTTTATCGATTTCCACGGTTTTGAAAAACGGAAAATTATAAGTAATAATATGAACAGATGCAGTATTTTTTTCTCTAAAAAAAACCTATTTAGACTTTTGCTCTAAAATAATTAGGGGAGCTAGTAATTGACTAGAAAGAAATTACCATTGAAATCCCTATGCTGCGTCGCGGTAGGCACCACCCGGTATACTAAAACTAAGGGAAATCTTCCATTAAATATCCCCATAACTATCTAAATGAAGTTGTTTTTAAAACTTCGTTGTTCCATTTTACCAAAATTGCAAATTACACCCGATGGTTCGTTTTGAAATGAAAGTCTTGTATAGGTATATCGTTACGGCATTTGACATTGTTTTATTATTTTGAATTTTGGCACCATCAATGTTTTTTGTAATGTGATTTCTAAACAAAATTCACCAGGTGATATTGATTGAAGATTGAGTTTTCATATTTACCATAGAATAACACATATCTTACGTACTTTATTATATGTGAAACAAATTAAATGAGATACCTATATTAAATCAAGGGAGTGTGCCAACACCCTCAAACGGACGGTGATACAGACACCGTATAAACGAAGCGTAGCTCAAACTAAAGCGTTTCTCAATTAAAGGTCCCAAATCTAACTTTTTTTCAGATCAAGGAGTGATCGAGTTAAAGAAACCCAATTATTATTCTTAAAACCTTAGCAAGATAAGATCTACGTTCTTTGCAACTGCCATTTACGATAAACGGAAAATAATTCTTGTGTCACCCTCTGCATACGTATACAGTTGAGGCTTTTTGAACTTCCCTATGTATATATATAGCCATCTAAACTATAAAATTTGTAACATACATCTTCTTCTTCACAATTTACCTCGCAATTTACATACCGGGTTGATTTTCCCAAACCGCAGGTCCGTATACTAAAATCGAACATGCAGAATTAACATAAAGCTTTTTGTAGATCGTTGCTCCCCATGTTAACTTGGAGGGTTTATAATGACTCCAATCGAAAGAAGATTTTTTTCTCATCTAATGATGTATGAAATAGTTCATTTTGAGGTGTATTTCTCATTATTTTAGCACAAATTCGGCAATAAATCCAATTATCAAAATCATGGTTAGCCATGACTAGTAAGACAAAAAGCAGATTCCAACGTTATTCAAATCCAAACCAATATTAGTTTCTGATAACTGGCATTAATTTTTTTTGTAAAATGCAGTTCACTGAGGAAAAAGTATTTATAATAAACAACGTTTACAGCGGAAATATTTACTCTTGTACGCGATATTTGTTTTCCGTACATTTTAATGAACGTCCATGGTATAGTTGAGTGTCCCATTCCGTCTGTGTCAAAAGCCACTATGCGATAAAAAATGAGTTGCTGAACTTCCAAAGGCGACTCGACAGCAACTCATTTATGATCGCACGTTGTTTCAATTCCTCAGAAAATTTCCATGGCGTAACATGATTTTGTTAATTGGATTTATTTACGGATTTTTGATAAAATAATGAGAAATACACATTGATGGTGCCAAAATTCAAAATAGTAAAATAATGTCAAATGCCGTAACGATACCTATACAAGCTTTCATTTCAAAACGAACCATTGCAATTTTGATAAAATGAATAGATGAAGTTTTAAAAACACCTTCATTTAGATAGTTATGGGGATATTTAATGGAAGATTTCCCTCAGTTTTGGCATTTACCCCCACACCCCTAGCGTACCTATTCTTTTTTTTGTTATATTGCCATTCTAAACACTTTTATAACGGTTTGTATTTCATAAATCCTATTATTTGTGGAATGCCTACATTTAATTTAGGTGGTAGGTACCTACTTCCAGCTGTAGATCCGTTTTTACAAGCAGAGCGTGCTTGAGTGACAGCGCTCTCGCTTTACCGCACGGGGAGTAATGCGTTAAACGAAGATGGAACTACAAATTTCAAAGGCGTCTGCTATAGTTATACGACCGTCTGCCGCGTTTTTCACGGTTTTCCCAAATTCTACATTCAAAGAGCTTTATTTTAAGCTATAATTCGAGCGTGTACCTTATGACGAGGTATTTAACAATTTTTGAATGTTTTTAAACGCTTCTGCTCGGGAAAGTTGCCCAGATAAATCGTCTGCCGCTGCAACTATGAATTTGGTGCACATTTCCGAATCAGATTGCAAAAAATCATACGTGTGCCAGTGACGAGGTATTATGTGATTTGGAACAGTTTTCAAAATTCGCCCCCACGCTAAGTTGACCGCCGCGGGCCGGCAGACGGGCGATTTTGGAATCACACGGTGGCATTCTACGGCCTAGTTACATCAAACCTTTTGTACACTATGACGAGGTATTTTCTACGCGGGCTCTCGGTCTAAAAGGTAATAAAGGTACGCGCACATAAACCGACATCGAACGTACAGATCCGAAAAAGTAGTTTTAATGGAATGAAATGCAGCAGCGCACATACGTGCGGACGGTACCCATCGGATTTTAAAAATCCTTGTTTTCGTCCTTCGTTAAATCAGCAAATAAATGCACATATTCCCCGAAAACATTTCTTCTTTTGCATATATCGTGATCTCTCGTTTACGTTGTCTTCACATCAATAACATTAATCTAGATATCCTACCTACATCAAAATAAAACAAATGAACGTGTACGCTTGTTATTAAACCTTTTGAAGACACACTGAAATTAGCAATAAAATGGAAAAAAACGTACACATTCATTTGTTTTATTTTGTTGTAGGATATCTAGATTAATGTTATTGATGTGATTATAATAGGTTTTTGAAAAATTTTCTTGTATTAAGGTACTAACATGTTACATCATCGAAAAGAGAAATGGTTTAGAGCGCTGGGCGCCATCTTCGAGCGTTATACTAACCTGGAGATTTATCAGTTTTTCCTATCTTCTACAGTTTTCGTCCGATTGTTTTCAAATTGGTGTCGTTGGAAAGGTCTTGTAAATGTAAAAGCGCACAACTCCCGCGCGGCGGAATTATGTTTTTCGTCCTAGAGGCGCGCGTCTTCAAGGTGTAATCGACTTCGGGCGCCCAAAAGTTTCTTAGCGGTCTCTCGAAGCATAATGGGGAGGATAGGGAATTGGGAAGCACGTTGATCAATTCCACTCGACCTTACAAATTACCTAGTACAAATTGATACTATTATTGCGTCATAAGTACAAGCATACATACAATACAAGACACCTGGTAACGATCACGTTTACATGTTCTAAGCCAGGATAGCTTTTTCTTGAAACCGAACATCTAAGCCATGGGTTTTATTTCTTTGTACAGTGATGCGCCATCAGAAGAGTACGAAAATGTACTTGAAGTGTAACAAATTGTTGACCATTAACAGTTTAGCTAATATTGCGACAATTGCATAAAAGAAATTGCGAAATGTTAGAAATTACGATCGGGTGCAAGACTAGAGAAAGCTCTCCATTTTTATTCTATTAAACGCGATTCATATTAATCAATACGTGATCATGTTGAATTGTTGTGTCATTAGCAAATAATATCGCGTTATCAGTAAGTTCAAGATTTGGCATCAAAACCAGAAAGTCGTGTTAGCTGTGAAAGTAGAGGAGTGTTGCGCGCGACGCGGCGACGACGAGCAGTTATTCGATTCTAGGCGAACCGCTCGCACAGTTTTGTCTACTGTTTTCAATTCAATTCAATTTCAGTTTTCACATGAATTTTGCACGTAGCAGTGCTTATCATTTTGAGCATTTTTCTATATACAGTTCGCTAACGAAAAAAATTACACTTTTTCTATGCAGTACTCGTTCCGCGTCGACGCTATCGTGAAAGTAACGGTGCCGTTAGCCCCCCGTTACAATTTTCATTGCACAATAAATAAATAATTGGTGTAAACTTGGATGCAATCCCAATCTGCTCAAAATTAATGTGCGTGCGTGCGTGTGCCCGTTATGTCAAATTTTTTACTTCCAAATCGAATTGAATCCTTCGGCGTGTGTGTACCTTGAACTAAATTTCGTGAACGGAAGTATGTGACCGGAAATTGCATTTGACCATAGAACCAACAGGTAAAATGATGAGCCAAGAAGTTTTGCATGTGGTCCACGAGAAGGACCCCTGGATAATCGAAGAGGATGTCACGACGCGCGCCAGCGATACGAAACAGTGGATAGTCGAAGAGAAAAACACGCTCACCGATAAAAAAGGGCGTAGGAAATCCTGGCACGCGATCAAATTCGAAAAGAAACGAAGAAAAGGGGTGGTGGATGAGAGTGGACTTGCGGACGTTCGCCAGAAGAGGCCCTCCTGGTGGAATATCTTCGCAACGCAACCCTGGCCAAGGTATTTATTTACAACTGCCCGTATTTAACGCCGGTTAAATTTCAAAGCTTCTAATAACACGTGAATTATCGCATGTCGACCTTTGATTTGCATTCGTGAAATTTTGGAAAAAATTTTAATTTATTCTATCACGCTCTCTTGAACTTAAATAATACGTAACCGATTTTCTTAAGTAACCAAAATTATCGGTAATTATCGCGATAAGAACCGAAATTGAGTGAATTGTGCTTCAGATTAGAAGTTTCTTTAATGATATAAAGGGTATTTTTGGTACTGACGTTATAGATTGTAAAGGAAATTAAAACAGAAAAAAGCTAATTTTGGAAAAAAATATTTCCCTGGAAAAGGGAGAAAAACTCGAAAGGGCGAAGGGCCGCATTCATCTCGCAATTCACAAGATCTCTTTACGACCCCATAATTTGAATGCGCTCTTCGAAGAGTAACAAAAAAATTGTTGATATTTTTCTTTAATTTTTCACACATGCCTATAAAGGAGGAACTAGAATTGTTTTCTATATGAGTATCAATATGCCTTTTCCAATTCTATAAACATACCTACTTCCAAATTCTAAATCGGAATGCGAAATGGGCGAAAATTGGTATTTACCATAGAGAGGAGTTTTTTCGAAAGAAAAAAATTCCCCTTATGTGATGATTTTGTTCGTCTGTTCCTCGCTTAACTCGAGAACGAAAAGAGACAGCGAAAATTTCGCCAATCGATTTCTATGAGTTCAAGGATCAGTGATATTAAATATGAGTGGCAAAGAATTCCCCTGCTGAAAATCGTAAGCGATTGTTTGTATCTTGTTTTAAATAACGGCCGTCAATTTTTAATTGTTAGCTATTTGCGAGAGTATTTGTCTTTATGTTGTAGCCCTAAGACCCCTCGGATCATAATTCCTTTACCATCTCGTTTACCATAAAAGATACCGAAAAAAGCTTAGTTCAAAATTGTGCACATTTACCGTCGCCATATTTCTAAAATATTTTTGATCACCAGAGGCGTGCTGTATTCCAGTGGCGTATCAATCCTGCGTTATTACTGATTTAGAGAGTACTTCGAAAAGTACTTTTTTTTATGTAACATGTTATATTGATAATTTTAACGATTTCGCCAAAATTTGACAGTTTTTCGAAATTTTTTTAGAAAAACTAAACCGCGCTGGCGGCTAATTTTTGAATTGAGGCACAGGTTAAGACCTATTCCACAATCGCATAATTTTTTTAACGGACTTTATCGGAAAAATAACATTTTTTATTGACCTTCGCCAAATGTCATATTTTGTTTAAAGTTTAAATGGCACCCCCCTAAACAAGTTATACCACTGGGTAGCCAAAACTACAAATTTTCCACTGATACAAAGAAAATCACTCATTCCATAAGAAAACTTCAGAAGAAAACGAAGTCGAAACGCAAATTTGTAAAAAAAATATTATTTTCCAAACCCAAGTGTGCCATGATGAAACAAAAGATGTTCAATTCTCACAATTAACAGTAAAGTGTCGGCAGTGTATGATTGTTTTTTAATCATCGTTGCAAAATTGTTCCTAACTCAAGCAGGACTGGTTGATATACCTAGTGTTTATTAGAGACCGTCACGAGTGTACGCTGTGAGATATCTTGGCGAAACACATTCATATCCACGGGTGTTTCAAAAGGTGTTGGATAGATTTACAGCTACTAGGAGTGTAAAACCATCAAGGAGAGTTAAACGGACGCCGGTTTTGGTGGAAGATCATGAATTGCAAGTTCCCGGGGTAGCTGTTGATAATCGTCATTGGTTTTTCTCTGTAAAAATTGGGGGATAGTTTTTAGTTAGACCACATAAGTCAATAAGTGGTGTCAAAAAAGTTCAAATTTTTCTGGACGTACTTATCTAAAATTTCGGAGGAGGTTGTAACGCCCAATTCTAAATTAAGCGTTTCAAAGGCAGTAGCTTTTATATAAAACTTTTTTTTTGTATCTCGTATACTTTCGATGATATATAGTCAGGGGCGGACTGGGTACTTACGGGCCAGTTGGAATTGCATAGGTTACGGGCCATTAAAGTATTACTGTAATGAAGATTGGGGGGGGGGGTGAGCTGATAATTAAAAGTACATAATCCAAACGAGGCGCGTCGCCTATAATTGTGTTTCAGCACTTTCAAAATACTACAAAAAATGATAAATTCATTGCAAAACATTTACATAGAAACAGAATTTTGTAATGAACAACCTAACATCAACCCCAATGAGAGAAACGTGTTAATAATTTATTAATAGTGCAAGAAACTAAATACAGCACATACTTATAAATTTCCAACGGGCCAATATGACCTACAGGCCAGGTGGCAATCGCCACCCGCCCCTCCGGGCCAGTCCGCCCCTGTATATAGTAGTTAATTATACCGGGTGAATATTCCTAAACCGAACATAGGGAATTAACATGAGAAAAAGGTTTTTTGTAGATTGCTCCCCATGTTAACTTAGAGGGTATATAATGACACCAATTGAAAGAAGATTTTTTTTCTCGTCTAATGATGTACGAATTAGTTCATTTTCAGGTGTATTTCTCCCTATGTTATCAAAAATTCGGCAATAAATCCACTTACCAAAATCAAGTTCGCCATGACTAGTAAGACAAAAAGCAGTTTCAAATGTCAAAATGAATATCAGTTTATGACAACTGGCATTAATTTTTTTTGTAAAATGCGGTTGGTTCACTGAGGAAAAAGTATTTATAATGAACAACGTTTACAGCGGAAATATTTACTCTAGTACGCGATATTTGTTTTCCGTGCATTTTAATGCGCGTCCCATTCCGTCTGTGTGAAAACCTATTTCAATTCTTTTGGACATTTTCATGGCTTAATATGATTTTGCTAATTGGATTTATTGCCGAATGTTTGATAAAATAATGAGAAATACACCTGAAAATAAACTAATTCGTATATCATTAGATGAGACAAAAAAATCTTGTTTTGATTGGTGTCAATATAAACTCTCTAAGTGAACATGAGGAGCAACTGTCTACAAAAACCTCGACAAAAACCTTTTTCCCATGTTAATTGCCTATGTTCGGATTTAAAATATTCACCCCGTAGAAGTATTGTTTTACTCTCGGTTTTACTATTATAAGGATACTATTTTCAGCAATTTTTGCTATTGTTCAATTGATTCGATGGTGCTGTATCGATACTATTCAACTAGCTGCAATATGAGGTGAGACAGAGCCTACTATAACTACTATAGTAGGCTCTGGGTGAGATCGAATTATTTATTTATCATTATCAAGAAAAGTTTACGCATGCTATCGTTCGGTGAATTGAATTGCTACCAATTTTATTTATAAGGTTTTTTGTGAGTTCATTTTGTAACCCCTATTATCTCTGCATTCTGTAGTTAACTTCTTAGCGATTTTTGTTTTTTTTTCCATGGCATTCAAAAAACCTTGGTAGGATAATTAAAAACCTCAGCCTCGGGTTTTTAATTTAAAACTAGCACAGGCTTATGGGCCATAATCCCGTGAAGTTTTCCACTCCATGAAATCAGTGCGTAAAAGGTGATTTTTTGGAGTATGGTGGATATCACATCGCGTAAGCCATGCGTAGGTCGTTATTTTGAAAATTTGAATAAACTAATCATGTTTGTATGTCAACATAAAAATGTTAATAACGTGGGGGATGATTTGGATGAGTACAAACTGCAGTGTCCTCGCTTCAGTTTCTTTAAGTACATTGTAAAAATATACTCGCGAGGTTAATAAATAAACAATGCATGTGAAAATTGGGTTGGGAATGGAATAAATTTTCCTCGATTCGAATTTAAATATTGTTTATACTTTTGAATGTTAGAAATAAGTAGGTATACTTCGTATGCTTAAATTGTTTCAATGTCAAACCGAGTGCACGACTCACACAAATTACCAAAAGTCCTCTAGTGGATTTTATGTACCAAAGATCAGTGTAACGTGCTGAATTTTCCTTTTTGCGATACAATTTTGTTGTATAATAAAGGTAATGTCATCCTGTTTTTTTTTTATTAAATTGGGTACATGGAAATAATTATCAAAAAAAAAGAACGTACATAAGCGCAGATAATGTACCGACAATAAGTAAATTACATATTATTACACGGTGAATTATATTTTTGTATTTGATGGTGGTACTAAGCTATTTCTAATCTGTGGAA